GCACGTCAGTGCCCAGCTCCCCGCTGACAGGCAGCATCAATTACCCTGCAGCTCCATGGCTCTGCGCTGCCCGCCTGCTGCCTTACAGGGCGCTGGCATCTTTATGCTGTGGAAGTGGGCTTGCCAAAAATTATGTCTGAGGCTGGCTGATGTGTTTGGCATTGCTGGGCCCTGCCAGTGGGTTCCTTGGTTGTTTGCTGGGAGGAGGGCAGTGGAGGCGGTACAGACCAGAAAGAGGAGCTGTTTAGCCAAAATCTTTTTGGTTTGCCATTGGCAATGCTGTGGGATGACACAATAAGAGGTAGGGAGGCGTGATGCCTCTCAGCTTTTTCCAGTGATCCTGTCTTTGAAGGACTGCATTTCCAAAATGCCTTGATGCCTGTTAGGGAGTTTTATGTGACTCATGGATTCACTTTCCAATCTTTTGCTGTTTTCTTTTGCTTTCTTTTCAAACTATCGGCTCATACGTGGATATACCATCCCTTGAAGTGTTTGAGGCCAAAGTCTATGTGGAATCTCATCTAGTGAACGGTGTCCTTGCCTGTGGTAGGGGGGTGGACTAGATTATCTTTGAAGGTTCCTCCTTACCCAAATAATTCAATGTTTCTGTGAAAGGCTGTACAGTTTGAATGCTAAGCATTTATGCTTTGGCAACTGGAGGTGTGTATTGTTACTCTAGTGACTTGGAGGGTTGAACCCTGAAGAGAGCAAGAGACGTTTGTCAAGTGATTTGTTTTCAGGGTTTTTTTGAGTAAACTTCTAGTAAATCAGGGGTGATTATTTCCACTGCAGCAGTAATGTACAGTCTAGCTTTTTTGATTTGTATTTTTTCTGAACACAGCATTTTCTCCTTTCACAATTTCTGATGTAGTTGCCCCAACAAAGGTTCTATCAAAGTTATTGCCACACTAGCATGTAGACTGCATGCATTGACTTTTTATGTGTTTGCATCAGATATGCTCATCAGTTCATAAGACTGATTATTGTGGGTCAGTGGGACAATAAATCCAATTTTGGGATTCATGATAATTGACTAAAAGAGTGTTTTTTTAAAGATTATAAACCAGTTCTATGGCATGCATTTATGTTATTTCATTACACAAAGAGCTTCTCCTGTGTAAGCTTTCCCATGCTGGGTCAAGTTGACCAAATGTTTTCTCCACTGCTGTAAGAAAACTTCCTGCAACAGGGCTTTTTGGTGAATGGATATGGTAGATTGACCCTGGCTGGATGCCCACCAAAGCTGCTCTACCACTCTTCTCAGCTAGGTAGCAGAAAGAAAGTATCATGAAAGGTTCTTGGCTTGAGATTAAGGGCAGGTAGAGATCACTTTACCAATTACCATCATGCAAAACAGACCTGACTTAGGGAAACTAGCTTAATTTATCGCCAATCAAATCAGGTTAGGATAATGAGTAATAAAACTAAACCTTAAAAACATTTTCTCCCCAGTCCCTCCGTTCTTCCTGGGCTCAACTTCACTCCTAATTTTCTCTACCTTCTTTACCCTGAGCAGTGTAAAGGAACTGCTGTTAGGAATTGTAGTCAGTTCATCACATGTTGTCTCTTTCACTTGTTCTTCTTCAGGTGAAAGACTCCTCACCCTCTTCCCCTGTTGCAGTGTGAAGTCCCTCCAATAAGAGACTCCTCCACAAACTTCTCCAATGTGTATCCTTCCCAAGGGCTGCAGTTCTTCACAAACTGCTCCAGTGTGGGTCCCTTCCATAGGGTGCGGTCCTTCAGGAACAGGCTCCTCTAGCAGGAGTTCTCCCAGGGAGTCACAAGTCTTTCCAGCAAACCTCATGGGCTCCTTTCTCCATGGGTCTGCAGGTTCTGCCAGGAGCCTGCCCCAGCACGGACTTCCCATGGGGTCACAGACTCCTTTGTGTTTCCATCTGCTCTGATGGTCTGTGGGTGGATCTCTGCTCCACCATGAACCTCCAGGGGCTACAGGGGCACAGCTGCTTCACCATGGTCTGCACCAGGGGCTGCAGGGGTGCCTGGAGCACCTCCTTCCCTTCCTTCTTTGTAGACCTTGGTGTCTACAGGGCTGTTTCTCTCACATATTCTCACTCCTCTCTCCAGCTGCAATTGTGTGGTTGTCCTCCCCTTCTTAAATAAGTTATCCCAGAGGTGGTGCCATCGTTGCTGATGGGCTCAGCCTTGGCCAGCAGTGGGTCCATCCTGGAGCCAGTGACATTGGCTGTAACGGACATGGGGGAAGCTTCTGGCACCCCTGTAGCCTCATAGCTACCAAAACCTTGCCATGCAAACACGATACAATGGGATACAGCTGTGCTATTCTAACTAGATGGTGCTGGATCAGATGTCATTCATCCCCCCACAGCCCCTTAGCATAGTCCGTGGCTGCTTTGACAGAAATGTGTCTCTCCATCCTGGTGGTCTGCCAATGCAGAGACCTCCTTGGTGCTTGTGCTCACAGTAGCACAGCCTGGAACACGCATTTGGGATACTATTGTTAATAATCCGTGAGCAGTGTCATCCGCATATATTGCACCTTACCTCCCAAAGGGTCTTTTGTGTTACCAGAGGGGTAAGAGTAATAATCTAGAAGTCACAGGTAGAAAAGGGAAAAGTTTACTTACCAAATATATTAAGGATCAGCAGATTTTTCCGTGGGAGTGTACAGATAGGGAGAAATTTAAACAGGCACAAAACTCAAGGATATGATTAACTAGGGCATTGGACAGCATCTCTAATCACATCGGAAGAGAAGTGCCTGTAGCTTATAAGGTGGATAAAGAAAGGGAAGGAGGCTCTTTTCCCATCTCATTCCCAAATAAACTGATTGGCTGACTTCTGTCTTTGTCACCTGTGGCTTTATAAAGTTTTGCATCAGCACTGTCTGTTCCAAATGAACACTTTCAGCTGTATGACCAGGACCTTTTCTGAGTCCAAATTTTCACCACAATCAAGGCATTGCATTCTCATTATTGTGATTGTACTTGTACATGCAGAAGAGGACAAGCTGATGTGTTTCTCCAGGATATTCAAGAGGCAACTCAGTGCACTTAATATGAGTTGCATAGGTCAGTACCAGAATAGGTACTCCCATTGGAGAGGAAGAGGCATCTTCCAGGTGAACTAATCCAGAAACACTCTTCAGTTCATTGCAGAATAGCAAGGAGCGTGTCTTCATCTTTAGAAGTCTTTTAAAAAATTAGATATATATGTTTTTAACTGACGTGTATTTATCCCTATAAGATTTTAGAGATCCACTCTGAACATTATCAGTACTTGGGCTCATTATAGTGGGGAGCAGTGAACTACAGCCTATGATGGGATGCTCCAAGAGCTGTTTTTTTGTTTACCCATCTGTGCAAGTCAGTTTCTTGCAGTGCACAAATCCTGACTCCATTGTCTTTTGCCCAGGGTAACATGTCCTCAGAGGCAGTTCTGGATGCCAAAAAGCTAGTTCCAAGCAGAAGGCTAGCTCCTCCTAGGGTCTGTTGTTACATAAAACTTAAATGCCATCAAGCCATTCATAGTGGAATAAACTTCACTTTCTACCACTTGTAGACTCCCATTAAATATTTAATAATTGAGGAAAATCAGGAGCTATAGGTATTATGGGATGGAGAGCCTACTGCTGCAGAGAGACACCTGTACGCCGCTGCTCGTGCAGCTTCAGTGGAGACTCATGGTGCCTGAAACCACTCAGGAATGTTTTGAGGAGGGAGCTTTCTGGTTTTGGCCCCGCAAAACTTTTTTTTTAGGGTGCCGTTACTTAATTTGCAGACAGCCAAAACCCACCTTAGTTATCATGTCTAAGGGTTCATTTTGTCTTTATCTGGACCTCTTCTAAGTTCTCCCCATCTGCTCACTGTGCTTGGTCCTAGTGGTAAGGTAAGCATTTAATCCCAGGTGCTGATCTGTTAGCTTTTAAGAAAAAATGGAGTTATCTGACTGGGCAGAAAGAAAAGAATTCCTGAACTAATTTACCTGGTTTTGCTGAACTCCCTGTGGAAACTTAATCCCCTCTTCCTTTGTTAGGTTTTAGCTAGAAAAAAATGCAGTTCTGGGGCTACTGTCCTCCAAGACCTTGTCTTCTTATTTCACAAAAGAATGGCAGAGAGAAATGGTAGTACTTGCCTTACTGCAATATGGTTTATCTTTTACCTTGCAAAGGTTTAGTAACCTTGCTCTCTGCTGAACAGTTAAATCCCAGAGCCCAGAGGGCAGAGTCCAGCATTGCATTCTGTTGTGTTGCTTCTTCTTTCAGTTTCAGGCTGACTTCCTTCACCTTCTTTGTCTTCATGGATGCAGACAGAGGGGTAGATGTTTTGCACCTGTGCCTGAGTTGTGAAAAGCATTAAACTATGAAGTTCAGGCACTCACAAAAAGTGCATCCATGACAGCACAGTGCACACATTTGGCTGCAAAACCCACTCAAGAAGCTGGGTAAATTCTTAAAGCAGTTAAATAATAATCACCTGAATGCATCTAGCTATGGTCTACCTGAGTTAAAGGCACAGAAGGCAAGATGCAACCCCCGTGAATCAAGAGCTAGTTAACAGGAGCCTGTAAGAAGCAAAATACCTAAATACATTTTGGAAATCGGTCATAACTGTAGGAAACCTTCAGCAGTAACAAAAATATTTCTTTTGCTCCTGTTGAAACTTGCTTATGTCCATGTCCAGCTCATGGTAGCAAGAATGAAAACCAGTTTTAGCAAATAAATAGAAGAGCCTTGCTGCACTTTCTGCAAGGCATCAAATTAATGGGAGGGCAGAAAGGGTGACATTGTCCTTGGGTCCCAAAGCGCAGACCAAACCTAGGAGCTGCATTTCACACAGCAGCAACTACTGAAACCTGGGTCACTGCATCTTCATGAGCCAAGCTGGTGAGTACGGGCCACTGCTGAGCAGAACAGGTGAACAGAAGTATGAGGAAGGAAACTATGTGTCATTTATGGGATTACACTCAAAATGTTTGAGTAGCTTTTTATCGACAAATCCTAAACAATGCAAATGCACCAGTATCTCACAGTGTGCTTTTATTATTTTTTCACAATATAAACTAGACAGACATGGAAAGTTTAATGGCAGCATGTTCTTATAACATTTTAAAGACAATGAACAACATAATCATATTAAATGATGATAAACTGACAAACTACATTACCATACCTACATCATCCAAAGGTACTGGATAAACAATATCTGTTTATGTACATTTATGCTGGTGATAATTAAAATTCAAATATTCAGAAGAAAAGGAAAAAAACTGCTATTTAAATTATAAAAATATATAGTTTTTGTGTGGAACTCTTAATGCTGTATTACTTTTTGAAGATAAATTTATTGTGTGATGAAGCTGCATTAACTTAGTATAGAAGTGTGGTTTAAACCAAATACAGATTAAATTAGCTCTTTCGTCTTCCTTGCATTTAGCCTTGTTGGAAAGAGAGATAGAAATGTAAAATAAAGCTGGGCTTTTGCAATGAGAAAGAAATTTTATACACATAAATTAAAATATGTGTAATTTTTCATATAGTACTGAGCCATAAACTTGTAATAGAAATAAATCATTTTGCTAGTTTGTTCAGAGATAGAGAGAGGAAAAAGAAGAAAGGCTTTAAACATGCTACTTCATGATACTTTTAATCAATAGGTTTGTGAAGTGGAGTGCAGGTGCATAGCTAAGCAGTGTCATGCTTCAGGTCAAAGCATGCAGTCCAAACTCTTGCTGCCTCAGCTGGGGAGACTGCATGGACTGGGGGGACTGGGACCGTGTTCTTTGGACTGCATCACCTTTGTGTTGCCTTTGCACATCTAGTTTCAGACTTCTTTTTTCATAATTGTTCCTTCTTAGTGCAAAACTACGCAGGCTATATAATTCCCAATCATAACAGCCAACTGATGAACTTTTACAGACTAGATAATTTGATAATAATTTACCTGTAATTTTGTAATTGCAAGTTTTTAGTAATCATAGCCACGTAGTGCACACATTTGTAGCTGCTTTTAGTTAACAGTTATTTTCAGATCATCTTGAGTGAACTCCTACAACATGTGAAACTGAAGATTTTCTTACATACCAGTGTCATTCTTCAGATCTTCCAGCTCCCTTTCTCACCTGTATATATATATATATACCACTGTTACCTTGACAGCCCCATTAGTCCTTTGGTGGATCCAGTGCTTGTTCCATAAAGAAATGTCCTCTCTATCACCCCTAATTTCAGAATACTTTTGCACAATTTTTTCATTTGTTCCTAAGTTACTTATTTATGACAGATCTCAGGTGATCCTACAGATTATTTTTTCAGAAACAAAATACTTTTCTTCATTATTTTCTTTAAAAATTTATTGAAAAAGAATTAAAGACACCTAAGCTGAATATAGCAAAACCCAGTACTTCTCTTCAATGCCTATGCATTTGCTGTTTTAAAATAGACTGCCTTCAGCATTAACAAAGTTCTATAGTGAATAATAATAGGGGGGTCTCTGCAAGCTTTTTCTCTGACCTTATGGCATCCTTTTTCAATGGAAAGGATGAAAGATAAACAAATTCCAGGTAGCACTCCTCTTACCACGGAGATGTTTCAGTGATCTCTCTATTTCCCTCCACTTCTATTTCCCTCCACTCTTCCTTCCTTTTTGACCTCTAATTCTCTACACCTAAACACTTCAGAAATGTCCCTCTTTTTAATTTTTTTTTTTCTTTTATGATTTGGATATGGTGAGAGTGGTCAGATGTCTGTGCATACACAATGACAGAGGATGGGTTTTCACTGAAGCGTAGTCTTTGAGCATGGAAATCTGTAAGGCATTTTGTGGAGAAAAAAAAACTTACATGGAAGTGTAATGAAGAGTAGGAAAGACAGGAATTATTGCAAAAGAAATGCAGGAGTGAGAAGAGAGGATTTTATTTAAGAAGTTCAAGCTTTTATATACATTCAATGTTTCTAAATGTTTTCTTAATAAATGTATTATCAACTATCATTATACCTAATGCAGCCACAATACTGTACTATTCTGCAGTCAGGATGGGAAAACTCCATCATCTCTTTAATAAAATAAAATCATCAACAGTCATCATGACTCTTCTCTTTGCCTGTTACTAACAAATACACTGGGAAGTCCAGTGAGTAGACACAACGGAACACAAAATCCTCAGTATTCATTTAGTTGTGTATCATGTGTTGTCTTCATATTATTTCTAAAGCAGCTTTAAAAAACTTTAGCCATTGGAAGGTATTAAAAACCAAAACCCCATTCAAATTATCCTGGTATTATAGCAGCACTGGAATCGACATTTTAAACTACTTTTGACAATGTAAACCTTTAATAAAACAAACAATGTTGAAACAATTTGAGGTCTAATAATTAATAAACTTTAATGGGCATATGGGCACAAATCAAAAAGAAGACTAGATTGTGAAATGAAACATAAGCTCAATAGCAGCCAATTCAAGTTGTGCAATTGGCTGCAAACAAGTTCAGTTTTTAAGCTGAAATAAAAAACAAAGCCCACACTCAATCCACAATACTCCTCAGTTCCTCTGATTTGAAATATTTTTCACAAAACCCCTACATGACCATGCCCACTCCTTAGAGAAGCACTCTGAAAGCACTGCAGGTACTATTTGATGGTGGGATTTTTCCTTTTCCTTTAATCAAGAATAGTTCACATTTTTGTCCTCTTAAAAATATTTCCTTTCTATGTTTCTATAAAATTAAGTAATTTCAAATCTGAAATGTAAGCTTGCCCCATCTTTGCTCATACAAAGTGTAGGTGCCACGACTAAATAGCAGTAAAAATGCTGAGATGTACAACTCTTAAAAAAAACCCAACCAAACATAAAAGCAGCTTTGAAGACACAATATCAACTACAGCCTTAACATTGAACATATTACATTCCCGAGTTACTGGAGATATTTTGCATATAATGCCACAAAGTTATTCAGCTGAAATCTTGAGGTTGGAACTACAGTTTATTCACTGTGTGTTTTTCACCCTTGGAGCACTTATGTATTGTACGGTACATTTTATCCAGAGCTTTGCAAACTTTCCTTTTATATCTGGACATCCATTTACCCACAAATCCCAGATTTCAAAAAAGCTTCATAGAAAAAATAGAAGCGCAGGATTTAAAACATTTGAAGCTGGACATTTCCATGCCTCAGAGCAGCCCCTGGGACTCGACACTTCAGAGTCTTCAGTTTCCAGGGGACTCCGGGCCCCGTCGAGCTCACAGAAAGCCCCACTTTGAACACAGGTCTGTTTATAAAACTGTGTTATGTACTCTGCATTAATTTTACTTGCGTTGCATTTTGTAACAGGAGCAGATGACTTCACGCCTCCCACTCCCCCTTTTCCTTTACCCTATTTTCACTTGAGATGACAGTAGACACCTGCATCAGAGAGGTGTCAAAGAGTCTCTGTCCAGAGAGAGGATTTTGGGTTTCTTCATCAACTTTTCTTCTGTAGATAGTCTTAGGAGACTATTCGCATGAAAATATTTTGAGGGCGAGGGGCAGGATGATAAATCTCACTTTCCTTTCCTGTTATGAATATGAACTCGATTTTGGTGTCCAGTTTGATAAACAAGGATAGTCAGAGCTAATCTGTAACTTAGCTGAGGTCTGCTTTTTGCCAAATAAAATTAAGATTTTTTTTTCAACTTTCAGGGATTTAGAGACCACATCTAATTGGTTTCAAACCCCCGGAGGAACTCTGTAAGTAAGCAGGATTAGTTGCAGATATGAGCCCACTAAAGTGGGACACAGGTCAGGTCTTCAGACTCCAGCTCTGCTCTGTTGAAGCAGGCACTTAAGGTCTCCTGATGTTTCTGTGTCAGTAGCCACAAAAAACATTTTGCTGCTGAGAAAATCATTGGAACAGCAATTTCCTGCGAGCCCCAAAGATTTAACTTCATACTTCTGTTAAAAAAAAAGTTGACATGTATTGTGTGGGTATTGTGATTACGATGTGATGGCACAGCTGGTAACTTAAAAACACATGTTTAAAAGGCATAGGCAATCATATTTCCAACTGTTCTCCTGTAGGGATAGCAGAGTGTCCTTCAAGAAGTTTCTGTCTTGACTCCACATATGTACCATGTTGAATTGTTTATTACATCAGTTCTTGCCAGCAGGACAGGGTGAGAACTTTGTTCATGCTGACCTTGTCTTTCAGATCCCTCATGGAAAATGCTAGGAAATTCAACACAATTTGGCAGTTTTTAGCAGCTCAAGTAACTGCCCTTGTAAGTGTAAGCAGGTAGGTCTTTGTCAGTATATTTGCTCTTCAGAGATAAAATAATCCAGCCAGCGGCATTAATTAAAAAAAAAAAAAAAAGAACGTAAAATACTCTGGGGCTCATTAAAGTTAAGAATAAGAACATAATGTGATGACAGATACAACTTGCTGAGGTTCTGAAAATAGCAGGTTAAATGTAAATATCTTTTAATAAATAATTTTCCGGCAATGTAAAAATAAATGATATTTCCTTTGGCAGTAATAGCTGATTTAATCTTTCGCTGGGAAGTTGCTTTGCTCATAAAATATCATTGTGCTACAGAAAAAAAAAATATTATTTTGTTGTTTTGAAAGACTTTTGTAATCCACAATAAACTGGGTGACTCTACTTATGTCCAAGATAAGCGCCAAGAGTGATGCAAGCTCCCACCAGAACCAGACTCAGGATAGTCTTCAGAGAGATCCAGGAGAAATCAAACAAAGGCCTCATATTGTTGCCATACAACTCCACAAAGGCATCCTAGAAAGGGAAATAATGAGAAAAGGAATATCAGAATTGCAATTACTGTTTTTTTGGGGGGAGGGGGGAATGGGGAAAGGGAGGTAACTTCTTCACCTTCAAGGGTCAGCCAACAATCCTGCTGGCACAAGAAGACCACACAAACCTATTAAAATAGTGATTTGGGAGGTCTGTTTTGTGTGATTAAAAAAAGTTCTCCTGCCTATTTCTTTATAAATATTGCTGTAATTACGTATGGTTGTGACTTCTGCTTTAGGCATGCCCAGTCTAACAGAAAAGACAGAAGCAGCATTTTAAAATATAAGTTACCACTATTTTGGGTCCTAAATGTTGTCTATACAAACATAAGCAAAGGAAGTAGATGAACCTTCTTTCTCCAAATCTTTCATTTCCACTGGATATGGAACATCTATATTGCAGATCAGCTTCATTGAAAATAAGGCAGTATTTGTTTGGTTCCCTTGGGATGGGCTCAGAAGTCTTTGTGTAGTAGCCACAGATGTTTCTTCCATATGAACTGAAGGTGTTACGGTTGTGTTACACCTACGATAATCTTTCACAACTGTCACCAATAAGGGTGATGTCGTGGTCCAGTGCTCCAGGAAAATCTGGTCATGCACGTAGGCACCAAATGGAAAGGCTGTTTAAGTAGCAAAGATAAAGTTTTTGTGACTCATAAATACAGTGGGATTTGACTGGACAAATGACTGGATTGGTGATACTCTGCACGTAATGCCTTTCTTTCAGGCTACAATTCCTAACGAGCATGACGCTTCAGGGCATTCCTCAGAGACAGATAAATCATGTATGATTTGTATGGCACGAAAGCAGTAAATAGCCAAGCTGAATGACTTTAAAAATGTGACAAAACTGATAGCATCATTTATGGCAACTCTTTTACTGGGCTGCCAATTAAGGTCTGCTCCCAAGCTATTGCAATAAGCCCATGAAACAGCTATCTAACGTGACAGTTTCTGCCTCTACTTTTATTACCCTAGACTTCCCATTTTTAGTAGAAGTTCACATTCTCTATTAAAGTTATACTGCCTTTAGCTGTTTTGCAATGTTATTATGCTAGGAGTTAACCTGTCTTTTAATCATGCATATCTGTCTTCTAATTATGCATATATTGTTATGGTTTACAGCAGGAACTGAGGAGAGAAAGGTGTTCATTACTGATGTAAACCTTCCAACCGAGTTAATGACAATCAAATTCTGTGGTCAAATTAGCTTCCCTCATCAGGCATCTCTAATTATTGTCCGAAGAGGCGCGTTTGTGGTTTTACCACGAGAGGGCGTGTAAGGATTTTTAATATTTTGACTTCTATTCACTAGACGCTGAGTGAGATTCAAATAAATAATAGATATTTGCTTCCAAAATATGTTACTACATTAAGTAATATTGATGTATGTTGTAGGTCAGAGTGGATGTAAGCAGGTAAGGCTTGGTAACAGAACAGCCACAGGCTCTGGCCAACCGAGTGACGTGAAAACACGTCTGCCTCTTGCTATTTCTCAATGCTTGTTCCTCTAGGCAATCATTTTCCAACTTGGGTTTCCAAAGGTATATTCTTAAGTGAAAGCAGCTTAACCTTTTCTGGGGAGGATGGAATCTTTCATTTCATTTCAGAGAGAAGTTGGCAACTTTTGCTTAGCTGCCTGTTTTTTGACATAGACGTTCACAAACTCTGGCCTTAATATTCTGCTGTGCTGTTTCAGAGCTGAAAAAGCACACTCAGTTTGCTGTGCAGCTCTTTGGAAAGCTGCTTTTATTTCTCCTTAAGGCTATGAAGTAACACAATATCCCAAAATGTTACAGACTGGGCTAAATCCTGTTGTCGCCAGTACAGACTCACTCACTTCCACGGGAGCCTTGTCTGTATAGGGAGCTCAAGATCAGGCCTTATAAAAATACAACACGGGTAAAGTTCAACACTTGGTGATATTATTATGGGTGGAAAAGAGAGGAAATGAAAAAAAAAAAAAACTTCATGGAAATGCAAGTCATGTGAAAACATTTAAATGTTAAGGTTTTCATGGTTTCTTTCCGTGGGGAAGGTCTCACTTCTGTATATTCATGACAGCTGATGCATACACAATATCAATATCAAAATGAGCGCATTTTGTGTCTCCCAGTTCAGGAATATTCCCCCAGTTTTTCTGTGAGACCATTTCCAATGATTCCATAGAGCTTCTGGTACTGGGTATGGAGATGGACGGAGGTGAACAGTAGAACTTGGATACAAGACAAAAATATGGCATAACCTATAGCTCAGAAGAGGAATGTTAACAAAAAATGTGCAGCATGCAGTACTTTTTTGTCCGAGATTATTACAACAATAACATGAACCCAACCTAATGGTGTCTGCACTATATATTACAAGTAGCTCTTTATGATCGTTCCCCCTCCCCTTCTCAAACATTCTGATTAGGCCTATTTCCGAAGCTTGTTTGAACAGCCTGTCACTATTTGTTTAAGTTTCAAACCTGTTTTAAATAAACACATGTCCATTTTATGTACTAAAACAAGGGGGGTGGGAGGAGGGAAGTATGACCCGTTGCTGAAAACTATTTTAGCACAAAGAGAACCCTAAACAGAATTTTAACCTTTCATAAGGTTTTGTCTTCTGTAAACCCATGTATTTGTCACTGGATTTTTGTCACCTAAACTGCTCTGTTTAAAATAAGCGAATCTCAGCTAAAATAAATAAGATTAGGAAAATTGTTTGAAACACTTGATGTCCTTTGAAAAGCACTCTTTATAATTAAAGCAAGGGTCCCCTTGGCAAATAGACTGAGGCAAGTTCTGGCTTGGTCAACCTTTCTGGAAGTCTTACACAATTGGAAAGAAAATCTTTGCAGACCTTGCTTTTAAGACCTTCAAAATTTAATGGGAAGTTATATCCTGGATGTAAAATTATACCAGAGCTGTTAAAAATTATATTGAAAAGAACTCTTCATTCACTTCTGTAACTACTTAAAAAGCCATTTCTTAAGAAGATTTTATTAAGTCAAATCAGCCTGTTGCTGGTTTACTGTGCAACTTTGTGTTGACTGTTTCTGTGAAGCAAGAAAGGTAGCGGTGGAGAAGGGAAAAGATGCTCTGCCTGAGCTCCTCTTAGGCACCAAAGCCCCTGAGATGCCTGCTTCATCTTGCCTGCTTTGACTGGAAGCCATGAGGTGCCCCAAGGGCACCCCTTACTTCCTTCTTGCCCACTGGACTACATATAGGGAGGATAGGGCATGTTCCTGGCCAGAGTTCCAGGGATTTGCAGGGAGCCCAGGACAGAAGTGGAGTTTGCCCCTCTGGGAGGATTAGGAGGCGTAATAGTGCACTGAGTCAGGGCAGTCTCAAAACAAAGAGATCACACTATTTCGCTCTTCCGCTGGCCCAAATTCGGCAGCTCTGATCCAAGAAACAAATGTCATCTTTAATTACACGGGCATTCTTTGCTTGTGGAATGAACCAACTTTGTTCAGCCTCGGTACTTTGGCAGCTCAGCTTGCACCCCAGCCCGAGAGGCAAGGCACAGCTCCTCGACCACAGAGGAGGACTTGCTGCCCACAGTCCAGAGAAGCATTATGGATGTGACGGCTCCTCAGTGGAAGTGTGGAGAGAGAAGGCAATTTCTGCCTGGCATTTCTGACTGAGGGGGCGGCGGGGAGAACGAACATGAGGAAGTAAACGCTTCCTTTTTCTACCTGAATCAAACAGCTGGTGAGGAAGTGACTTTATTTCCCTCGTTATCATTGGTTTGGCAGGATATCCTCTTGAGCCACATTGTATTGAATGAAGAGCCAAAGAGACTTCCATTTTACTGTACGGGAATTGCCTCGCAGCTATTTTACGCTGCCCTCTCTGTGACTGCAAAACAAACAAACAAACACACACTAGCCCCCGGCTTTTTAAGAAACTTGCACAGGTCTGAACAAGACCACTTTGCCATCCACTACGGGGCAGGAGAGGGAATGGCACACACTCTGATGCCAAGGTTTGGCAGCTGAATGACTTTTCCCTCACCCCTGCCTCCACACAAATGACATAAATTCTCATAAAAGCTTTTGTTCCCACATGTTAACTCATTTCAGAAAGAGTTTGGAAAGGGAGGGAGGGAGGGAGGGAGAGAGGGGGTGGACAGAGCTGGTTAAATCGTCCCATGTTTTCTATGCTGTGAAACCTCATTAAAATGTCATCTAGCAGCTAACAAGAAAAGTTCTTGGAACACAAAGAGTAGACAAATGTGTAGCTGTTCTTTTCCCAAAGACTTTATAAGTCTTTTATGCAAGCCTAAGTTGTGAGTACAAATAAGGGCAGCTCAGCCCTTGGCTGTGCTGTGCTGAGGTGTGGTGTTTCACAAGGTCCGTATCTTTAGAGAGGCCGATATCTTTTTACACCTGGGAGTGCCGACCTGCTGGTAGTCCAGGTGCATATTAACAAATTATAATGGGAAGGAAAAGAAGGTGTCACCACACAAGCCCTGCTGATCATGGAAAAAGAACCTGCCTGGGGAGTGGCTTTGGCACATAAACCCCTGAATCGATTCCCATTTGGGTTTTTTTCTTTCCCCCTTCACCTTTGCTTATGGTAGAAACTGGGTCTATTTTGGAGACATTGTTCAGTGGTGAACATGGCAGTGCTAGATTAATGACTGGACTTGATGATGTTAGAGGTCTTGTCCAACCTGCTATGATTCTATGATTCTGTTTTGAATTCTGTTTCTGGAAGGCCTGACACAGTCTAAGGTCTGCAGCTGATGTATTAGATGCTGGCTGCATACACTTTTTTGTTTCTTCAGTGTTGTCTGAGGTTTCTGACTTTGAACAAAATTGGTTTTCATCACATTAGTCTTGCCTACCTTCTTTGTTCCTTACTATCTATGCGTATAAATTCCTGCATCAGTGAGCCTGTGATTTTGGGGGTCTCACTGTAAGGTTCTGTGAACTGGCATTAGTGGAAATAGTATCTGCATGACTGACTAAACATGTCACTCAGATGGAGACATCTAAGGATCCAGGATTGACTGTGGTTATGTTTGCTCATGAAAAGTGATGCATATGCTTAGAAATATATAAATGTGAGTAGTTATAATAATGGTGATGACTTGTTTCCCTTTCTGTGCTCCTAAAGAGTGATCCTGCTGTCAGGTAGGTTTTCTCCAGACCCCTGCGAGATTAAGGGTAAATCCAAGCTTTGAGGAATAGTCAAGTTATATCTTTAAACATGGGATTTGAGGTGTTGATCACTCAGCTTGGATGGAAATCCATCCAGTGTTCAGAGTAGGCCACATTCTTGTCAAACCAAGTCAGCATGAGAACTGTTTCAGTAATTTAGTCTTGGCATCTCTATTTAATTCATTTAAATGTGGTTCTGCAATATGCAAAAGCCCAGATCTAATGGAGGCTGCCTCGTTCTCTTATTCCTGGAAAGGTGAACACTATAAAATGAGGAATTTCTGGCATTAGGATAACAGCACTGCAGGATAATAGCACTGCAGCAGCTAGCTGGTGGTATTTGATGGATGCTACTTCTAAGGGAGCACTATTAGCAATTATGAGAAAAAGAAGGCAAGAAGGCCTTCTGGACAAAATACTGTGTTCAAACAACACAGTTAAACTGCTCTATTTGATCCTTCACAATTTTCAGATACTTTGTAGGTTGATAGTCCTACTCAAATAATTTGCTGCTTTATTGAATTTTCTGAAAATATTTTACTTAAATAGAGTGCTAGAAACTGTTCTACCTAGAAAACAAATGTGTCCCTACACGTGAATCTCAGTTGCACTAAAACCAAGTCATTAGTAGGCCATATTCTTCCCCAAATTACCAAACCCATTTAGTGACATCCATTTGTGGATTTGTGAATCCCTTCGAAGGAGACAGCAAGTGTCCCAGAGCTGCTGGGGAGACTCATTTCACGCTGTAATGTCATTCTTATACCTGCATACTCCAAAAAGAGGCTGGATGCACGAAGACCCTGGTCAAATATTCATAATGGCTTAAAAAAAAAATAATAAAATGGAATTGAATGTCAATGCAGGCCTGTTTTTCTCTAAATATTGCTTAAATTCTCTGTCTTGTTTGTAACTGGCTTTCAATTTGAGTGGTCTTATACTGCAAATAGCCCAGCTAATTTAAAAGCGCAGCTCTGAAGATTTGTCTACAGTGGGTGCTGCACTGACAGTAGAGGGAAATGTGAACACATCCCCCATTATATTCCCTGCCTGCTCCAGCTGCCTGGGCTGCTCTTGGGCTGCTGCAGAAGAGTTAAATCACAATAACCACTTGGGAAATGGGAAATGAAAGTAGCTGCTTGTAGAAGTGCTCAGAGTGCTGTGGCACAGTGTTTGTCCTCCAGGCCACGGAGGCTCTCATTTAACAAGCGCATCCAGAGGTGCTGGGCTCAAGGTGGAGGCAGAGAGAGGACAGCAAGGTGGCAAAGCTGTCAGCCTGGGGAGGGACCTGGCTCAGGGTGGCTTTGGCCAGAAAAGGTTGAGTGCAGGTGTGAACCAGATGGGTGAAATCTGACTGGTCTGAGCAGGTTGTCCCATTGACTGCACCACGAGGGACCAGTCACGTGTTTTTCTGCTGCTTGTTTTAACATCCCTCGGGGATATGCTCCATCAAATGTTTGTTGTTTCAACACTCCGTTCTGATCCGAACTCCTTTGGCTTGACAAGCTCGTGCTCAGCATTGAGCAAGAGCAGCACAGAGCTGGAGTGGTGGCCTGGCTGTTCCATGGTGCTCTGTGATGCTCCATGGTGCCCCAGCACCCAGTCCTGGTGTGACTTGATGCAGGCACTTGTTTTTTTATAAATCTTGTGACAAGCAACTGATTTAGAGGGCCAGTGAGACAACACAGCTAGCATTACGCTAAAGTAACCTCACAATAAATCCACAATTTAATGAGTAAGTGCAAAAAAAGGCCATGCTCTAGACTTCAATGGACATTTACATTTCTACCACCAGCCACCTGGAAAATACGAATTTGCCCATGTGTTTTCTTTGGCAGCCTACACCTCATTAGCAGCTCAGACCATTTCTGCTCACCTGAAAAAGGCTTATTTGAGACAGAGAAGAGGCAGCATTTTTTAGCCATTGCTGTCTTTAGCCATTTCCTAAGTCAGCCCTCCCACCAGGAGCTATGGGAGGCAGACAGGTCCTGGGAGTCTGACAGAATGCAGCAAATTCTCCCCTTCCAAAGTGGTGCACTTTAGAATGGGGCCTCTTGGTGTCTTGCTTCATGTTCTCATCAATTCACAGCTAAGTGATAATGGGAAATTAAAATAAAGGGAGGTTCTCTGTTCAGAAGAGATTGTTTTTAATTAGGTGCCTTCCTCCACCCCACTTTTAGTCCTTTCTGTCCTGTTCACCACTTGTGCAAAAATGTGAGACCTGGTAGAAAAACGGAGGGTGAAGGAGCTGGGAAAGGAATGAGCAGAGTCTGCACAGACTGAGGCAAGTAGAAATTTGGACAAAATTAATTAAGTGGGACTGGTGAAAACTGTTGTCAAACAAGTTGAACTTTTATGCCAAGACAGCTTTATGTGTTGCTTGCCTTATAGATGGGGGGAGGGGCTTGTAGGTTAAGGTGGGCTGGTAAATCTTCAATTTTTGGGTTCATCCAGAAAGTCCTTTGGTAAATGTTATCAGGTAAGAGTTAACAGGGACCACTTAAAAAAAAAAGGACCAGTAAGAGTGTAAGAATACAAGCCAAGTCACAGAGTAAAGGACTTTGTTTTGTTATTCAAAACAGCTCAAATTTATTTGCATACACAGTTGTAATTCATTAACTATGGCAAATAGATTTATTGGCCAACAAAACCAAAATATGAAGCCCTAATAAAAGGCAAACCATCTCTGCCTCTCAACCTGCAAAACCAACACCAAAACATACAATAGGCATCCTTCAGGAGAACTGGGATCTTCTCCCATTCAAAGGAAGTACCACCAGGAGGTTGGAAAGCAACACACCTCCTATACATACATATACTTTGACTCTTCTGTAACAAGATATAATGTCTTGATGATATAAGGAAGAGCACAAATTCTGCATGTTTCCTTTCAGCAGGAAGCTCTAAAACTGAAAAATACTGAACACTGCTAGCAGGAGAAAAAGTGCTATTCTTTAAGTACTTCAGGGGCTTTGCTGGTGTCACTGTTCTGGCCATATTCCTTGATGGAAACATGGCTTATACCAGCTGCAGCAGTCTGCCAGCATGGGTGAAGTACCTCCCAAACAATGTGAGTTAATACTGGCAAAAGGACTCTTCTCTGGTCTAAGTCTACGTAAGTCTACATAGTGGGGAATGGAATCATGCCAAAATAGCTATCTTTGTAGGCTAGGGATGTGATTTTTTCCTCATGAGATAGTTGTGCTGGCCAGACTTTGTCATGTAGACCCTAGGAATTTTTATTTGCAAAATAAGACTGTAATTTATTTTAACCAGATGTTCAGCACTGATCTGTGTCTGTGCATTCACAGCACACTCCAAGTAATTTTTACTGTGAAAGACATATACCTTGGACACTGGTAAGATTTTTAAAACATAATGCTGAAGCTTTAAGACTGTGGTGGGCTTTCCTTTCTTTTTGTTGGTAATGGGTAGCTCCCAATGAAGTAAGCTGGTGTTCTGGGTGTTGAGTTTTGCTCCTATCAATCAGATTCCCCACAGGACCTGTGGGGAAAAGTCTCAGCTCTCCCAGGTATCAGAAATTCACATCAATTGCTGAAGCAAGTCATGCAGCTCCTTACAACCTAATAGTTGCTGGGAGAATAGAGTGAGAGCTGAAATGACCTAGGATCTCTCTTTTCTCAGTAAAAAGCAGGAGGTACGAGTGCCAGTCCTCTGAATAAACAGATCCCTCTTTGTTTTCTTTCAAGCCTGGTGTTCTTGAGGGGAGGCAGGGGCTGGTTCTGCTACAGGACAGTGATCATCAGAGTGGTCACGTAGCTGTCACTGGAGCCCGATGTACCAACCACTATCAACAAGTTACACATACACATCCTTGGGAACAGCTGAAATACAGCTTAGCCTGCATTCCTATGGCCAGTCATTCAAAACAGAAATGAAAGGATTTAGCTAACTGCTGCTTTTTTTTTTCATAAGCCTGCATGTCCTTGCATATCATTCACAAAAGGCTGCACATTTATATTTCCTGTTGACATCCTTTGAAAGGGAGAATGCCAATGGAAATTGGATCTTTTAATCAACAATTTTTGTGGACAGCAAGCCAGATGAAAATTCATGAAGGATTAAATTTGATCATTGTGACCTTGAACTAAGAGGACAAGGAAAGAGAATGCTGTTAACTTAGGCAGGAAGAATTGGTAATTACTCTGTGTGTTGGTATTTACAAGTCAGTAGAAATTTCACGTGAAATTTCATGCAAAATTTCAGACACTCAAAGGAAAGAATATAAAACAAAATCAGGACTGTCATCAAAGGAAACAAAAAAGCATCACCTATGAAATTTGCCTTGAAAGCTTCCCCAGTTTCTAAAATAAATAAGACCCCACCAATCAGAAACCACAGATCAAAATTGATATAAAGTCCTTCATAAATGTCATAACTTTTTGTTTTAATACTTCTAAGAGCAGATGGGAGCACACAGCAGAACACAGTTCTGCAGAGGGGAAGAGAGAGCTCACCTTGCACTCATCAAGCTACCTCAGGGTCAGGGATAGGGGTGCAAACACTGTGGGTATATTAGAACAGCACTCCAGGCAGACTGAATATTCCTGCTGTGAAACTAGTACAACCACTGCTCAGAGGCAGCTCCAGAATCCCTGTGCAGTGCTGTGCTCTGCCATGTAGATGTGCCCCGAGGCCCTACCGGAGAAAAAAATGACGGATCCTGCTCCTGCTTACGGCACTGCCTTCCCTGTAGAGCAGCATGAGCCGTGACTCCTGTGCCAGCAGCTGCTGCTGAAAGCCTAGTCTCTCCTGCCCAGTCACTTCAGTGTAGCCTCAAGAATTTCATTAACACATTAATCTGCAATTAAAGAGCTGCCCTTGCTTAAGAGCCAGAGGAAGTGATTACAATGGCTGAGGGATTCATGTGTGGTGGAAGGTGAGGCACTAGATCTGGAGGTAAGTACAGCAATCATCTAGAGGATGACCACAAGTAACTCCTGTGTGCAATTACCTCCCGCTTCTGTCCCTCTTCAGGTGATGTCCCCTGCACATCTTGATGTTCTTTTCCTTGGGATTCTGCCATTGCTGCCAAAATGCTGCTTCTTCCTCAAGATCTTCCATCACCAATATCTGCTGCTCCTAGCCCGAAGTGGGAAGGCCCAAAGATGGTTTCCATCAGCTTTGCATCAATACGGGCTTCCTGCCACAGTGGTAACTCTCAGCTGGCACTTTATGGCTGGAATCCAATGTATAAGTGCCATAAACCCACCCAGGAGCTGCCTTCATAACCTCCTATAATTAACTGTTGCTGCTATAAGTTTAGACAAACCCAGGAAATCACATGCAAAATTCTGTCTGATTTGCTGTCTAATCAACTTCTATCTAGGTTCTTATACCACACACATTGCTGTGGTATCTGAGCATCTTGATGCCTGGATGCAAGTCAGATAAACCCTTTTCAACCTAGCTAAGCTGCAGTCCTGACACTTCTACACTCTTTTGCAGCCAACACTTTTGCTACCAGCAAACTGCAAAGAAGCTTCTTCAAAGATTTGCTGAATGTACCAGCTTCTCCTGTCTTCCTTTCCCAGATAATGTAAGGTTGGGAAATTTGCCAAGCATCATGCTAAACTGAAAGAGACATTCAAATTGCAGTGAGTGCAAGAGCCAAGGGAGCCCAGCCTGCCAGAATGTTATTGTAGTGTTCTCAAGAAGTTCTCAGCATTAAGACTTCATTTCATTGTGTACCTGTCTGTCTGGTTAGGAGATGCTCCACTGGAGACCAGAAAGTCATTGCTTCCTCAATATTAAATACAAGTGTCTCAGCCAGCTACAAGCCATTTGTTAGCTTCAAACTTTTGAATCAGTTTTGTTTCTTTTTCTTTTAAGATTGGAGGCGTTTGATCCTGCAGTTACCATCACTTGAAACAGAACTTCTGCTTTCAAGAAGATTTTGGATATACCCTTTTCTGATGACCATATGATTGAAGCAAGAACACAGAGAGGGACCAGCAGTCAAAAAGGTGATGAAAAAAGCATGTATTATTTCTGGATGAGAAATAATAGATAAGGGTTTGATTGATTTAAGAACAAGTAAGGGAGAAGAAAAGTTCAGAACTTATCTACACTTTTAACAGTAAAGAAGCAATCCTCCCCCCAGGAGGGACCATTTATACTGATATCAAAGTGTATTCTGACTCATTAACTGAAATATGTTGTGCTGGTGGGAGACAGTTGTATCAGCAAGATTTTGTCTACAGAAGGGTTTGCACCAGTGTAACTTATATTCATACAAAAAGTCAGATGCATCAGCAACATGGGCACATGGTGGAGTGCAAACCAGGCATGAAACATAGGGAAGCATTTTCAGACCAATGTTTTGGGCTATTTTACATCTCTGCATTGTAAAAGTTCCTGTATGTCCACAGTGAGAGCAGTTAACATACAAAGACCCTCAAACCTGATCTAGAGCTACACAAGCATCAAGAAACTAAAAGAAAACCAAAGCAGCTTCCTTTTTTAGGCCATCTACTCCCACAGCTTTAGCCATAGAGTTTGGGGGAGGGGGGGTGAAGGAAAGAAGCTGAACTGAGCTAGTAATCACCGCATTAAGTTGATTTGACTATTAGAAAACTTTAATTTCAATGTTCCCCATGGCATTTCTGGTATTTATTTCCTTATTTACTTCTTGAGCCTATTTAATACTTTGACCTGAAGGAAGAAGAATTCATACAAGCAAGAAGATTAAACGTTCAAATTAGTTAAAGATGAAACAAGTCTATTGATTCATTATAGACCAGTGTTCTCAGGATCACCAGTGAAACTATCATGTACTAATGCCATAATGTGCCATCATGTACTATGCTTGAAGAAAAAAGACATTTTCAAGAACAGGTTATGGATGGCTTTTGATTGGAAAAAAATACACTGCTGCTTTGCATTCTTTTGGCCCAGTGCTTTCTGTTCCATCCAAATGGCCCTTCTACATTAAGAACCATGAAAGGGTCAGTGAGTCTCTTCTCACACCAACCTGACCTTGTATGTTGGTTTCAGTCAGATTTTGCCATCTGTGTTCACTCCAAAATTGTACTTCTGAATTTGCATTCCTTTCACACATTGGGGGCTTTTTATATGCTTTGCTCATGTAGTCGCTTTCCTTCTGGTGCATGTTTCTTCTGCCATTTCTTGTGTGATTCCTTCTTCTTCTGGCTATTTAACCTTACTTCCTTCATTACTTCTCTTTTCACTATTCACTTTCAAGCATTCGGTGCTGCCTCGCAGAGTTTCTACAAAGCATTTGTCCATACACATTTGTCCTTTCCTTAAAAGTATATTGCTTATTCCCGTCTATGGAGCAGAAGTTAGTGGAGACAAATACATGATTGTCATTGTGCCAGCTAATCATGCCTGAGCTGTGGTCCCAGCAGGTTTTAACTGCAGCTGGCTGCCACAACGCTGAGTGCAGCCTAGGTGGATGCAATAGCCAAGTCACCGCGGGCACTGTGCCAAAGGTACAGTTGTGCTGCGACACAGTGGTAGCCTGCAGCGAGACCAGCCCTGACTAGTACTCGATGATAGCTCAAGACCCAGTTTGTGTCTCAAAGAAACCCAAGTCAAGTTGGTGTTCCTCTAGAAGCAAGCAGGGGTTGGGTAGGAATGTTTAAAACAAGGCTTAGTCCAACACCATTTGTGCCAGGTTTGCTGTGAAGCCAACACAAAACCATGCTCAGAAAGCAGGGATGCCTGGGCAATGTTCAGCTGGAAACCTGCATGCAAAACCCTCCTATGTGAAAGGCACAGCACACCTGTATGATTTATCAAGGAGCTAGTAGCAGCTGAGCCATATGAGAAGTTCTCTGAAGGCTTTCACACTCCCGGGAGGAGGAGCAGCTCATAAAGCTGTATTTATTACTTCACCTCTGGTCAATTTTTAAGGGTAGATTTAGGAGGAGGAAGATGAAGTTGCGCTTTGTTGAATTTTTACACATTAAAATACATATTTATGTCACAGAGGTTAAAGAAAACAAAAAGAGCATCACCTCAAAGAGGTGAAAGTTTGATCCCTGAACTGCCATCTCAAATTAGGTTTCTGGTACACGTAAGTGTTAGTACTCAGTGAGTTAGCTACAATCAGTTTGTTATTGATACCCGAGTTAAGAGCAGTTTCTTCCTTCTGCCTCTCTTTTCCAAGACAGTATTGTGTCAAGTGTTAACAAAATTGCTCTTCTAATTTCTGTGCCTCCTGATTTATTTGGCCAGGCTTAGGGGAGTAGCCCAAGTCCCCATTACCACAAATCTGTTAACAATTCTTTTGAGTTCAACAATGCTCATTCTGTTTCCTTTGCTTAAGCTGGACATTAGCAACAAAGACCTGCTAATGTCTTTACTTTTCAAAAGTTGTAAAAATGCTTTGGAATTTCTACTTTAGCATTTATTTATTTGTCTTCAGAGATTCAGTTGCACAGCCCTTCCCACTTACAGTTCAGCTAAATAATGTTCATGTTATCCTTCTATACAGGAGTATTTCCTCTGCCTCCACGGCCCAGTCTTTCTTTCCTGAACAGTTTGTAGGTAGGTAATTACGTTGTTCCACTACATTTCCCTACCACTCATTGCTATTAAAATCATCCTCCATGGAAAAATACTCTGATTGCTCTTTTCCTTTTAAACTTGTTACACTTGTCTAAATAGTTACGCTATTCAACTCCTTTTTCTGATACCTTCCCAGTTTTCCTGAATTCCCTTTTATATGTTTACCAAAATTACGACTCTCCGATGGTCGTAATTGGCATCCTGTTCTCTGAATTCACAAGACGCTGCCATATATACAGATGTCTTTAATAGACATATCTGACTAATATGTTCCCCAGACACTCATAACTTCTGGCTTATTTGCAGGATCTACTTCTGTTCTGGTCCTTTCCATTTTCTAGGCTCTCTTTCACTCAGTTGCTGTACTCTCTATCTAGCGAACTAAAACACCTTCTTGCATAGTCTGGTCTGGCAACACTGAGAACTGGCACAGATCTCATCGCTTCATCAGACTTGCATATGAAACTGGGAACAGCTGAGTCAAAGCCATTTGCCCTGTTTGGACCAGAGTTCTCTGTCTAGCCAAATGATGTTACTTCCCAGACAATTTCTCTTACTTACTGGTAAGAAAAGTTCATCCAGTGCCTCATGATATCCATTGTTTTGGCTGAAATTAAGAAGCTTGCTGAGCTCATGTTCGTCATGACCGTGTTCCTGGGGAAAACTGGGGGTGTTTGCCTCACCAGTCTCATTCTGACTGGTGGCTAAAGCCAGCTTTAGTTGCTAAGAGTCACATTGTCTGCCGGCGAAGGATGATCTGACCCTCTGCTCTGCACCCATAAGGAGACTGGCTCCTTGAAGCAAAGACTTGGCCAGCTCTGAGAGCCACCCTTCCCCTCCCAGATGACCTTTCAGCTTCTGAGCTTCCTCAATTTGTCACAGACATTTGTGGGACTTCAGAACATTTGAAAGTAAAGAAGCAGAAGCTGTGTCAGATCAAGGGTCCTTAAGGTAAGATATTTTAACCAGTTCCAAAGTCAAAATAAGAGTTACTGTCTTTTTATCTACTTGCTTGTAGTAATAAAATGTTTGGCTTTTGGCTGGGCAAACAACTGTCAGTACTGTTATAGCCCATGCGAGTTCCTTCTTAGTGTCACGGATATGTATCCCACTTATCTAAATCTTGAAAAAATATGCTTTCAAGTTAGATTCCTAAACACATGAGTAGACATCTAAGTAGACTGAGCTTTGCAGTGGGGACCTTCTCCCTTGGTGGCCTGAAGTTAGACACATGACAAGTATTGGAAGTCTTGGGCTGAGAAATACACTACAAAGCTACAGTATGGATGGGGATAGAGAAATCAGTTAAATTCCCCATCCCATGTCTAAAATTTTAATATTATGCATTAATAATCATTGCACTGATAATAATTTATTAAAGCTGTTGGGATTTAAGAAATCTTTCCTGAAAATGATGTTTGAATTTTCTACACTCTTTATTTGACAGGGTTATTTGACAGGTCTTACTGCTCTCAGAGTAGAGCAATAAGACTATAAGAACACAGAAAACTTTTCAATAGGGAGAGCACTGGAACAAGGCATTTGGGAATGTAGCCATCTAACAGAATAAGGAGTCAATGAGTGACAGGGAGAGAGAATGTGCAGATGGAGATTCAGCACTCCCAGTCCTCATCATGCAAGAAATAGAGGGATTTCAATAACATAAGGAAGGACAGGAAATTCAAAGCTGGTAAGAGAGCATACTTTTGCATGCCATCATCAATTAGACCATCTTATTATATAAAGTATTTAAATTAGGTAATTGCTACAGAATGCTGAGATGAGAGTTTAGTGAGCTTCGAAGAATAAGTAAATATTTCTACAGTAGACAAAAGCCATTAACAGTCCAAAATAATAGGGACAGTAGTAATAATAATGGTGGCAATAACAATAATAGTAATAATAGTTGTTATTATCATAATAATTATAATGAAAGGCTTTTGTTTGAAGGATTAAATAAATCTCTGATTTTTGGGATTAGTGTGAGATCTTCAAAAGGACTATACAAGACAGGGGGAAGGGTGGGAGATGACATTATCCTAAATCCACCTCTTGGGGCTTTCTTTGCCTTCATTGAAGCAGGTGGTGTCCAGCACAGGCACATACACAGTCTGTGCTAGATTGATCATGATTCCAATAAAGATGGACAATTTAAAATAATTATGTATTAGCTGACCAGGGGATTTTTGTGTCCTTTTGTGTTTATAAAGACATCCTTCTAAATTTTTTCATGTTTATCAAAAAAAACAAAGACTTTGAGGCAAAAATCCATGGATTCCTAAAGTAAGAATTGTATAGACATTTGAAAAAATTCTACACAAACAACATAGTACCCTTAAGAAAAAATTCCAGTATGCCTTTTTATCTTCAAAAAATGTTGTAAGTTAAATGCAAAGCATAATGAAAAACTGAGAAATTAAGTTCAAACCCAATTTTTAGAATGGGCAAATTCTTTAATCTTGGAATGAACATTTTCATAAACTATTTAATGAAAACTAAAATTAAACAGAACAAAATTTAGGTTTTGTGCATGTGCTTTATCCAAATGGAAAGAATAATAATTCAACATATAATGACAGTAACATAAAGGAAAGAGACTGTGTTTAAAAAAAAAAAAAAAGAAAAAAAAGATTGTTCTTTTTCTTACTTAACTGAAAATAAAGCTAAAAAAACCTGGTAACAATACAGAATCTAACCATGTGCCAGGGTATAAAATACTACTGTTTATGTAGGGCTGCCTTCACTCCTTTGTCCAGCCACAGACACTGTGACGGGTCAGTCATGGATTTTTAACTGAATTAATCACAGCAGGGGAGGACGCTCTTCCCGGCTGCTCTGAGGACCACCCCTGCATTCCTGCTCTGTTTGAGGCTGGAGTGAATGCTGGAAGAGGCCACAGAAATATGGCTGATGGTGCTGGTGCAGAAGAGGATTCACCACGCTGCAGATGGGCAACTGGAACCAGGGGCAGAGGGGCAGGCTGAGCACAGGCATCCTCATGGAAGGCCCTCTGTAGGAGCAGGGGCACAGATTGTCTCCCTTCACATGGTGGTGCTACAGAAGACAGCAAAAGCACATCAATCTGCAGGACTTTATCAGTCTTTGCTTCTTCTCTACTCTCCCTAGAGGACTCCTCAGTTTATTTTTATTTTTCAGCCTTCCTTGAATCTCTTTCATTTCCTCCCCTGCTTAATTATGCAGCATTACATTATATAATTTAGACAGAAGAACGTGAGCATTTTTAATGACATCTAGTCTTTTGAAACTGCTTCGCAGAAGAAAATACAGCTTGTACATCTGTAGTGTGCCACGGGGTAACACAGTAGTGTGTTTCCCACCATAAGCCCTCCCCCAAGTACTTTCACTCACCCCTTTTCAGACCACTAAGTAACCACTGCCAATCACCCTTCACGCCCCATCCCACCACTTTCGCTCTCAGTCATTTGCCCACTGCCTGTGAATCTGTCAGGACTTACTTCACTAAACCATTACAGACACCCACCCCTTCTTAATCACCTCCCGAACACTTTCATGTGGGCAGGGATATTCATCAGTTGCTCAACTACAGCTCTCAGTACTGTGGCCAATGCAATAAATTCAGAGCGAGAAAGAGAGGAAAGAACCAAGTGGTATGGGCACCAGGTGGGAAACTCCTCAGTCAGAACTTTAAGCAGGTATGAGTGTCTCAGGGCAGCTGGGGAGTGCAGGAAACTCTTTTGCTTGAAGCACTTCTGTAATGCAACAACTACACCCAGAGGCAGGTCCCCTTAGGTTCAGTAATTGCAATGATTGAGAAAGAAACTCTTCCAGGTGATTCAGAGAAACAGCCACATAATGTGGCTATCCCCACACTGCCCCCCGATGAAACCTCTCTTCCCGTCTATCGAGCATACAGGGGAAAGTCCTTGCCTACCTACCTGAACCAGAATCCCTCATTTAGTCTTGGTATCTCAGTGCATCATCTGTGGGTGGTGGTAATAAAGTGCTTGTCTGGGGTCCATGGAGAAGTGTTCCTGGAAGGTGAGTGCTACAGCAGCTGTGGAGGATCACCCGCAGTGGGAAATGACAAATGACAAGTGCCTCTGCATGTGCGCAGAGTTGGGAAGTCCCCACAAATGGGGTGTCCATGCCTGCTGAGATCAAGCACAGACACTCTTCTCTGTTTCTCTTGTAAAAAGGGTCATGGTATTTCCCTTTGGGAATTGTGTATTGTGGCAAGTCAATTTTTAGCTGTGTTTATCTTAAGTGGTTTTAAATTCCCGCATTAGTTTGCTACAGTAAAAGAAACTTCCATGTGTATATCTCCTCAGTTTTTGAGTGGAAAATGACAAGAAGAAATTTCTCAACAACTCTTCAGCCTGAACACCGCTTATCTTTCCTTTCAACCTACTGTTGAATGAAGTACCATTTCTAGCTAAGGGAGGCACTATTTGACAGAACAAAAGGTATCTCTCCATGCCTGTCAAGCTCAAGGATATCTGGAAGGTACTGTATTCAGATTTACTACCTTACAGAAGTATTATGCAGAATACAAAGATACTTTTCCCTGTAAATACATCTAATGCCTAAATACTGGAGATATACATATATGTATAAGTGTATAAATATATATGCATATTATACATATGTATATATATATAGGTATATATATACAATACATGTGTGTGTATGTATGACGCTGAGCAGTCTGAAGAACTAGGTGAAAAATCAAGACCCATGCAAGGAAATTAAATCCAGTATTCTGTTACTGTTTTTCCAGCTAAATACCATCCTCTAAAATACTCTGGTTCATTAGTAGAGCCCACCACTGAGTGGTTACCGATGTAAAACATCCATCTTACACGTTGTAAAGGCTCAGTGCCAGAGCCTGCACTTCCTGTAAGCACCTGTTTCATCCACAGCCCTGAGGTCAACTGAAAGAGTTCCCATGCTTTCATTTGACTTTGATCAGGTCCTCGACATCCTAAAGTGAACCTTCCCACCGTCCAAAGAAAGAACCTTCCAGCTGTGAAAAGGACCCCAGAACTCAGCTTGTTGTGTTACCAGGGGTGTGGGGGTAGTATCTGCACAGAGACCAGGCAGACCCTGGAAGAGAACGGTCTGGACTGTGCACTGAGGGTTTCAATTACAAGGTTCATTTAACCCAGAAAGCCTCCTGCTGCAGAAGGCCACAGATGTTTCGTTACTCCCCCTTGGTTCTTCCTATCTTGACAGACATCACAGAGACACCATGCATAATAAGGGTTTATTCGAGTTTTCCGCTCGGGACTGTGCCCTGACCCCAGACCACTGAAGAGCCGATCTCATCCCAGCTAGCAGATGCCTGTGTGAGATCTTAGAGTTCTTGTCCTTCACAAACACTTCTTAGTCCGTCTATTGCCAATTAAATCTCCCTATTGTGATGCAAAGAATGATAGCAGCATTTTCTATGTCCACACACTGCCTAAACTGATAAAACACTCAGTATATGTTAAGAATATAAGTGTGCTCAGTCCATTCACAACACACAATAAGTGAACAATTCAATTAACTAATGCAATTCATATTTCATTAGGACAGAAGCTGTTTGTGACCTTAAACGGACAACAATTTCATGACGGCACTGCAGAATTTTAATTAGATAGGAAAATAACAAAGACAAATGAAACAGAGGGAAAATGCGCTGCCTGGCAGAATTGTTCCAAAGAACTTAAAAACAAAAGATGCAGTTGTTCTGCTAAGTTCTTATCCTCCTTCCCCCTTACTAATGATGCAGAGAACAAAACATTATCACGTTTCTTTGCCTTTCATTTGTAGAGAAGGCTGTCTCAGCATGTGAACCTGGTATGGTACCAAAAGGCACAGGGAAGAGTAGTCCAAGAGCCTGGTTTAGCTTTTGTCCATGGGTACCTAAGTGAAGAGCAGCTCCTCTAAGAATAATTTTTGTAGCAGTTTTTCAGAAAAGGCCTAAATATTTGGGCCTAAAATCATTTGTGAAGGAAAGTGGTAAACCAACCAACAACAGACATGATTAATAAAATTTTTAGTAATATTAGGACAAAATAACACACAAAATCACAGTATATAAAGGACTCTGATTAAAGCAGAGAAGGATTCAAATATTAAGCTGTGATTGCTGTAATATTTCTTTTTGAGCTACTCTTAAGAAAATGAGAAAAGATTAACAAGGTTCGTTATTACGGTCCTGTAGTAATTTCATACTTAATCCAAAGTATTACCATATATGCTGACCTTTATGTGAGAAAAGTGGCTCCCTACACTCTGAAATTTGGTTTCATTATTTTACTATGTATTACCAAAACTGTATCTCATCTTACAGAAACATAAAAGCATGAGATCCTTCAGTTTTTGGATACTACATTTAAAGAGATGAAAGAAGGATGAAAGGATGAAACTATCAGATCAGAGTTCACGTTCTGCAGAATAGGCTCCCCCTGCCCCCTCCTTCCCAGACTATGATTTATGTTTTAAGGATAAAAACAGTAAATACATTTTGTACAAATCTGGCCAGATTTTGTGTTAAAGGCAAGATGCTGAATAGGAAGCAGTTGGATGTGTAGCAAGATGTGTCTGTTTAATCAGGGTATTTGTTGATCTGGGTCAGTAACAGGATGGTTGTTTGTCCTTGGCCAGTGGGTGGCAATGGCAGCAAATGGCTTATAGTAGACAAGGATTGATTTTGATAAACATGTCCAGATGGGTATGATTTAAATCAGTAAATATATTGCTTCATATAAAGAGATATTTTCAAATTAATTTTAAACCAATGTTTGCATCTACAAGTCAGTAGATCCTACATATACACTCTTAAAATAGTATTTGAACCAGGGGAATATCAGTAAAGAAAAAGGAAAATAGCTTTGCCTTCTCCGATTGTAACATCTCCGATGCTTTATTTTTTCATTACATATTAGATCAAAGTCCTGTTGTCTGTATATTAATATAATTTATTAGTTATTTTCTTAAACTTATTGTGATCTGAAGCTAATTTTACTGGAAGAGATGAAGTTAATTTATCGTAAGTCTTGTAAAGCAAGTTTTTAATGCAATGAAAGTATCATAACAGCTGCTAAATGAGAGAGACCATAAAAAGGGAGTTTCCAGAACTCACTGATATTAGCTGCTCACCCATACATTCCCTTCCTCTCAAGTTTCAAGATGAGATTATTATAAAAACAGGCTGATTTGTTACCAAAAAAAAAAAAAAAAAAGAAACTGTCTGAACAAATCTGCAAATAAACCAGCTTGGGGGAATTCCCATGTCTGTGTCTAACCTCCATGATCAAAATAAGGCATCCTTGACCTGACAGAAAATTCTGCTATTTTTCAGTACTTAACTCTTCACCTGATGGGGTATCTGAGCATCACAGCTCATGCTCCAGGAGGAAAGCTGTGCTTTAACTGTGGTGGGCCCAGCTGGCGCCAGACTCCTCAGGCTGGAGGGGTGACTGCTTAGGGATGAGCAGTGGGAAGCAGGGTGGTGGCCATTGCTGGTGACAGCAGCAGCATCTCGCCCAGCCCCTGAGCACTGCACTGAGTCCCCACACCATGGAGAAGCTGGGCCCAGGCTATTTATCTGTGATAAGTGCAGCCAGTTGTGCAGCCAAATTGCTCTGTACGGCTTCCTTTTAATTTTTTTCCTGTTGAGTTTTTGGCTTGGCTGATGGAAGACGGAGAGGAAATGCATCCCAGCAAAACCGCCGCTCTTGGATTTGTGGGGGCCTTGTTCCAGTCTGCTTGCTGGCCTTGGGCTGACTGTGAGCTGCAATTGTTTTATTTTTTTTAGCGTTTTCTACACTTAAATTTGAAAATCTGATGCCAGATTATTTTCTTTTCCTTACAGTACTGCAAAACTGGGATAACCTCACAGCCATTCTGGGATCTGCTCTGCACAGCCAGAGATGCCACTGACAGTTTTTAGATAGAAGGAAGCTGAGGCTAAAGAGCAGAGAATATTTCTTGCCCTACATTGTTCTTGAAGACTATTTCTGGCACACAGGAAGGTCTCACAAAATTACCATCAAACTTATTTTAGCTAATTCCATATGTGACTTGAAGTACTCCAGAGGTGTGTGTCAAGCCTCGGAGAACTGATGGCAAGTTTCACTCCCTGATTAGACATAGAAATAAATGTATGACACTCTAGGGGTTGCCTGGAAGTGCTTTTCTTATAAACAGAGGGGAAAACAGCCTTCAAATGATACACGAGCAAATTAGCAGGAGTGGGTCCAAATACTGTACTCTAAAATGAACATTTTGATAATCATAACAATGTGGTTTGAAAAGCATCACTTTAAAAGGTCAGCTATACCACCATCTGACTGCACATTGAAAGCATAGCGGATATATTGACTCATACATATTGTTCATTGTCATTTGCATTTGGTGAAATCCCTGCATTTTACCCAATTTAGTAAGCAAGCACCGCCTCGGACTCCCTTGGCAATACCTCTAAATGCAGTTACTGTTTGTTGGGCTAAAACAACATCTTGTCCCATCCTGCACCAGTAAATCACTCTTCGGTCTTTTGATCAATGTTTGCCTTTTCAAGCCTGTGAGTCATTTTGCATTAATGGAAAGAGAGGGAGTGACACATGAGAGCAATGCGGGTATTTTGAGCTGCACCTCTGGGATACTTTTGTGCACGTTGTTCTGAACAAAACGACCATCTGTATCAGTTTGCTAACAGCCACTAGTGCATCAAAAGATCTGACTTCCTATCTTTGTGGATAAAGGCTGGCTTAATTCTACAAACCCCACGCAGAGTCGTCAGGTGACGTGTCATGAAAAGGCCTTACTGAAAACAAGCACACTTTTTGAAACCCAGCATTTTTTTCAAAATTGTCCTCAGCATCTGACCGCATGGCCTTTTCCATATTTTTCTGCATATCACCCATCACTGTTCAGCTTCCCAATAGTCATGTCAGTGATGTTTCCAACCAGAATACGGCGGAAGCTGTCCTCACCCTTCCGGGGGCTACACCTGAAGAGTAAGCAAATTTTGTGGGTGTTTAAGCCTTTTTTAATTTTCTATGAGCAATGTAAAAATGACTCATTCTTGCTTTGGCTGGAATATATAATTGGTAAACATTGGTGGGGAGCAATCATATTTCTAAATTTGTAAATATAAACAGTCCATAATGCACCAACTCTTTGGTCCTGTATTTTTTGTGGGAAGGGCAGGGCAGGGACTCAGCTTCGCAGCTGGGCAGGTTTGGTAGCTACAGCCAACAGCAACTGAGGGGGGAACCAAGAACTTTCTGGCAACAAGGAGACTAGGAGGAGGTGGAAGAAAAGAAACAGAGGCACCTTCCCATCATAGCACTGATCAAGGTTTTAAAACCATAAAAAAAAACCCCAATCCCTCTCACAAAGATGTGTGAATATGCAAAGCACCATGGAGCCTAATCCAAAGATCACCACAGGCAAAGGAAGATCCAGGAAGGAAAAGTCATGGATGTTCTGGATTGAGTTCTGCAGGGAGGGCAGTCAAACACATGTCCCTGCAACACACAGACTACTTTAAAACTAGATGGTTCGATGACTGAAATAGAATTTAGACTGATTGTGTAAAGGCACATATACATTATGCACAAACTCATCATGAAAGAAGTCACCTTAAAGTGCATTTATAAAACCTAACACTTTTACAGTGCCTTCAAAATCATAATGTTGCTAATAAGGATTTTTATTAGTATTCAGTAATTTGAATACTAACAATAATGGATTTGTTAGCATTCCATCCAAGAAGGTATGCAAGTCATACGCCTTTCCTTGTCCCTGATATGCACAAAAGACCAGTGCTCAGAGGGTTTCATTTGGACCCCTAACCTAACCTGTACAAGCAATTCTGATGAAAAATCTGGAATGGGAACCCACTGACTTGCTCCTTCTCTCCATCAACCACCAGAAGGAGCACGCAGGCTGCTGAGGGTCACCTGTGTGTGTCCTCCCATTTTGCTACTCCTGCTGGACTGGGGCTGCTGGGCTGCCATGCCCAGCACTCTGGTTCCCGCAGTTATTCACCCACTGACTTCCTAGTCCCAGCTGAGGATTCATCTCACACAGCATTGCACCCCTGCTGCTGGGCCACAAAGTTTCTTTGAGACTCAGCACATCCCTCCAGTGAAGCCTGTTCGGAGTTACCCACTGATGAGTAATAGCATGTAAAAGTCAATTACATTCATATTCATAGAGCTGCTACTTAAAATGTTAACAATGAGGAAACTTGCCCTACAGGAATGAGGATGGGGGCAAACTTTTATTAGCCCCACATGAGCTTGTATCTGCTTTAAATGTTACATTGTCCTAGGGAAAGAAGTGCCATTGTTAACAGCATTGGAGGCAGTCAGCTGCACTCAATTTAAAATTAAAAAGGGAAGAAAAAATAAATGAAAAGGGAAAAAAACCAAGGGTCTGCCTGACGCACTGTAGTATGGCAGGCTATGGTAAATTGCCCCAGAACCTTTTTATTGAATCCAGTCTTTCACTACAAAAGAATTCATTAACCAGTTCATGATGCAAAGTCTGCTAAAGACATTATCCTCAGTGGCCAGCATGGGGCTGTTCCCATACACTGTGAGCACTGCTTTCACTGTTCACTGCTGAGTCCAAGGTCACATCTACGAGTCACTGTTACCCAGTCCTGGGCACCAGTGGGATGTCCATACTTCCAACTTGAGATGGCTCCACGTCTTTGCCCACTGTAACCCTGCTCAGGTAAGGTCTGGAGAGCTCAGCTCAGGAGAAGGCATAGTCTGGGAGCGTTAAGTGTGAAGCTGGTGTTTAAATCAGCTGGTATTGAGTCTCTTGTGGGTTGAACTTCCTCCCGTCTCTGCACAAGGACTACCAAGGGTGCACAAAAGCCTTCTCCTGCCTTCCCCAGCAAATTACCTGTGCCACACATGTGTTGCACAAATGGCACAAAAACCACCGTGCCAGCCACCAGCTCAGTTCTGTATGGTTGGGTACACCTACCCTTGGAGCAGTGCAGGATCTACTCTAATGAAGTTATCTCAGTGTAAAAACTCCACAAACAATAATGCCACATGAATGCAGTCTCTGCCCCACCTTTGAAAATGTTCTTTTATGGGCCTTAGAAAGGCTGGGGCAAGAGAAGCCGGTGTGACTCTGGGAACTGCTAGAATCATCACATGATTTCCATTATGATTTCTATTCACCATCAGCCAGCTTGCACTTCACTGATGCCTGTGGTGCTGAAAGAGATGCACTAGTGGATGTTTGTTATATTTATGAACCAGGTGGCCCTAACCACCCCAATTACACTTGCTGCCTTCCATTCATCACGCCGCCTTAATGAACAGAGAGGCTGGCGGATGTCAAACAAGCAGCCAGAAGAAACAAAAGAGAAGCCAGGCACAGTGTCACCCAGCTTGAGCCAGCCCACCGGTACCCCTCACGTGGCTGTACCCATTCAGCTTCCCTGCAAATCCCAGCGTGAATGAACCACAGCCACTGCCGAGCAAACAGATAAGAGTCCGGAGGAAGTGATCGATATATTTAGATAACGTGTAACAAGAACACGTAGCAACCTGCCCCCTTTTCCATGCTTGGACAAAGAGGAGAGCAAAATAAAAATCTCTGTATTGGTTGCTTCAGGCTGAGTGATTCTTTGACACTATGGTTAATCGACACCACTGTAACCATGGAGTTAGCCTAAGTTCAGGATAACACTGTGGCTTTATTAAGAAACTCAAGCACAGAAATACAGTTGGAAAGTCCTAATTCTCCTCAGCAAATTAATCTTTTGAACTCAGCTCAGCCACCTGCACCTTTGCGTTCACTGTTTTTACAGAGTAGATGCTGGAAGTGTAAAAATAATTCAAAATACATTAGTCATGCTTGAAATGGTCAAATGAAGATTAGAGAAAAACCCAACAGCTTAAAAGAATGTGAAGGGACATTAAAAGGTATGTAAATATTTATCCATAATTTTATAGCAGTATGCTAAATACTGCACTTTTTTTTTTTTTTGCTCACACACTGATTCCAGTGCTCATTAATTGGAATTTCTTCAACTCTGAAAAAGGACCTTTATGGGATTGAGAAAAGAAAAACTAGGACAGAACTGAATATGAACTAGCTTTTGAGACAAGAGCCACTTACGTGACCAAGACTGTGCTCAATTGCCTTTGCTGTTTTCTTGCAGAGAAGCAGCTGAGCAGTTTTAAATAATAGAAGAAAAGAGTCTGTTTATAGAATAAGATGGAAATGAGACTCTACCTGCAGAAGCTGAGCACACAGCCATCCTTCCTCTGGGTTCACTTTAGTTTGAGTTTATTACAAAGCTAAATTCTCAAGCTGAAAACAATGTTTTTCAAGCTCAGAGTTAGTCTTTGCTAACTAGGGTATAGTTCAGCAAAGAGGATATAGTTCATCTTTTCCTTCTCTAAATTATATATATATATAAAGACACATATAGGGACACACAGGACAGAAAAAGTAACTCTGTCTGTATAAAAACCCCTCTACTCTTCTAGCTGAAAATTTTCTGCTGTTGTCAAATTCATAATACAGTGCAAAACCAAAATCTAGAGAAGAGTATTTTGAGACCTATTTAGTTTTCAGGGCACTTTTTCCTTATGGATAAAATAAAGACTGTGAACTTACCTGTGTCTTTTCTAAGAATCTCCTACTTTTCTGTGACTATATGTCTGTAAGACAAAGTCTTTGGCATAGGAAAGGCAACAGTTACACAGACTTCTGTTAATCAAATTTTACAGAAAAACTTAGCAAATTGCTTATGGGAAAGAAACCCCATCCCATTAACATGGCAGCATCCATGTTTGTTCAAAAGTATTTTTTGTAAGCACACACTGTATTACCTACCAGAAAAAAAACTCAGCCAAGCTGCATCCCAACACTGAAGCGCAAGGCATGTACATGGGTCACTCCCTCTGCTCTGTTCCTTTAAAAGCAATTTCCCCACAGTTTACTCAGGTACTTTATTTATAGCCTGGCCCAAACATTCAGCTGTGGTTTTAGCTTCAGTTTTCATACAGTTTTCATACACTGAGTCCAGTAGATTTCAAGTGCTGTTTTGGCCTGTGAGGTGTCCATTGTCCATCCCGTGTGCAGATTTACCTCTTGGCAGATGGCAACAAGGAACCCTTCAATGCCAACAGCATACAGAAGGTCACAAAGTGATTAGAACCTTAGTTGTCATCTTACCCACGCCAGCCCCAAATTCAGGCAACCCCTCTCAGTCACTGTGACCATTAATGTAATATATTTTTAGGTCTCTAGGTGTTGGCTGCCTATGTGACTTTGCTCTGTCTTGATCTGGTATGTATCTACACAGATCACTGTCAAGATCAGGCCTTCCAAAAAAAAAAAAAAAAAGACTTGTGTAATCCTTATGCTGCTAATCCCAAGAATCAAGATCTGTTCTCTACCTTGATCACTACAAGGGGTATAACATGACCTACAAGACTACTCTATAAAAGAGCATTTATTTTCAAGTGCATATCTTTCCTATTGAAGGTCTTCCATTTTGTTTTAAATATTTAAAATTAGTCCCTAGAAGATGGTGAATCCCACATCTTACATCTGGGCTAGCATGAGCCTGTAGAGTCAATCTGCAATGGTGTCTAATACAGTTATTGCAGGCAAAATGAAACAGTATGGAGAGGAGATTGCATAGATGTGGGCTTGCTACATAATTCAGGGCCATGGGAAGATTCCTCAGGGATGGCCACTGCAGCCCGCAACAATTTCTTTGTGAAGAACAGACCAGTGCATGTTGCTTATGCTTCCAGATTGCAGGATGCAAGATTCACAGTAATTACAACCCTAGCATTTGGATTTGTATCAGAAAAAAGCAGCTCATTGCCAATTGCAATTGTAAATACCGCTTACATTTTTGCAAAGCCCAAGCCAACAGATAGATCCCTACAATCCAGAAAATGCTGAGCTACAGTGTTCCTCATTTGCCTGCTAGAGCCAGGGATGCCCTAATACCACGATGCCAAACTGCAATCATGCACTTTTCCCCCCTGAACATTTACTTTAATGAATCCTAAATTATCTGCAGGCATAGTAATGATACCAATTGTCATTTCGATCACCTACGACGGGCACATTATCACCTGTCTGAGCTAATAGTGCACACAGGGCTGGGGTTTTTTCCCCAGCTCAAAAATAAAGTCTAGCAGAAAGTACTGCAGAATGACCAACAGCTGTGACAGTCTCTAGTTAGCAAAAACTAACTCTCAGCTTGAGAAGCACTATTTTCAGCTTGAGAAGCACAATTTCCAGTCAGGTGGGGATTCATGGGGCAATTCCGACACTGACTGAGACACTGGCTCCTTAGAAAGGAAGAAGTAGCATCGCACTATTGACACATTAAAGGCCTGTAAGAGAAGGTCTTGTAGAAAGGACAAAGTCATCCACAAGCCCTTCTGCCTCCAAGCCACCTGCAATCCTGAGAACATCCCCCAACACCTCTTTCATAGGACAAAGAGTTGAGAAAAAAAATCTAAACAAACTAAAGCACAAGGAACAACCTTAGCTGTATCTTGAGAGAGGCAGAGGGGGATATTGTACACAGAGACCCTGAGAACATCTTGCCTCATGCAGGTACCAAATGCCCCTCTCCCCTGCCCACGCTGGGAGTAATTTCCAGGGGTCTGTCCAGGTGGTTATGTGCTACTACCTGCAGATAAAGAAGCCCACGCTGAAATCTATCTTAACTGCACAGCCCAATGCTCTGCATCTGTTCAGCTTGGATGGGTTCAGTGGCTCAGTTAATGTAAGCTCAGGCTAGTCTGAGCCTGTTAAGTGCTCAATTAAGCCTGATCCACTGCACCTCTTTATTTCCTGTGTAGCTGGATTCTGTTTTTTCCATGACACAAGCATTTCCCTAACCTTTTGGAAAAAGCATTTAGCTGAAAAGCACAGAGTAGTAGGAAGCTGTTTGCTCTTGGTATACTGTGCCGGAAATAAAGTCAACATGATAGATTAGTACTGAGTGAGTGGAAGCTGTTTTTCCCAAAATGTCACACTTGTGTTTCAGAAATGATTGATCTTGAGCATCAAATAAAGCACCAGCAAACCCATCAAAATATATATCATGTATAGCAAAACAAATGCCATAAAGAAATGTGCTATAAACTCTTGCTGAGGCCTGCAAAGCCCAAAAAACATTGCTTGTCACAGTGCAGAGCAATGGTTACAGCATGCAGAGGAAATTATGTCTCCACCACAAGAACATGTGTCTGGACTTAAAACTAGGTGAATGGATCAGATATTCATCCAGAGTAAGTCAGAAAAGCTACAGACATTTCAGTCAGGTTTTAGATGATTACTCCTAATGAGCTCTTGTTCCATGATGTCTGCAGAGACGCTTGGTTTACAAGGCCACGGCTTTGAAAATTCATAATCTTTCTTTTAGGCTTCTCCATCAGGAATTCCTTATACAGATTTGTTGTTTGATCCTCCACAGAAGGAAAAAACCTGAATAACTCCGCTCTTGTTTGACTACTGCTGACAAATTGACACAGGCACCGAAATTAAAACTCTGTTCTGTTCAATTTGGGAATGAAAGAAGAACCTGCTTAGGGGTTGGGGAGGAGGGGTTAAAAATAAAGCCCACACAGCAGATTGCCCCCAGCAGCTCTCGCAGGTCCTACGAGCTCCTATGACACAGACAAACTGCATCTCCCAAAGCAGGGATGACGGGGAGTTTCCCTTGAGAGCTGTAGCTGTAGTTTATGAACGTGCAACTTCATTAGCAGCCGGTGACCCCATTAGACAGGGCTCTTAATTTCTTGGCTTGGACAGAACTCTCCAGGGATTATCACAGCTGTATGCCGTGCACAGAAATCTCATTGCTAGGGCAAGGAAGATGGCTTTCAAAGTCACCTTGAGAAAAGCTCAGCAATTCAAAGACCATCCTGTGGATTCACAGAAAATAAAGTGTTTAATTTCAGATTTTGCTGAATGAAATTGCTGTAACTTGTAGGAAACCCACTCAAACTCCCAGGTGAGGAGCTGACACAGAAAATCACATGTAGCCCAACAAGGCTCCTCTTTCTATTATTAGGGGAGAAGGATGAGACTATTTATTTCTAACATTACTTCATACTGTGGAGTTGTTTTGAGAAAAAAAAATTAGAAACAGAAGGAAAGCTCATAAGCAGCTGATGACCTGCTCCATGCAGAACATTTACAGAGGAGCAACTGTGCTCTTCACAAAGGACTTTTGATGTAGGCAGCAGGCCATGATTTAAGATGGGCTGGGTTTATGGGGTGGTAACGGCAGGCCCAAACTCTTTTGCCAGTTATCTCAAACCACAACAGACCTCAGAGTTCTGTTCTCTGGGAATGAGGGTGTTTAGGAAACCCATGGGGGTGTCTGGATAGCTGGTGGATGCTGCCGAGACCCAGTGCTGTCTTATCATCCCTCTACAAAACAGAGGAGAGGGAATAAATAACCCTGCAACTAAAGGTCCTAGTGGGATGGGTGGATGGATGGATGGATGGATGGATGGATGGATGGATGGAACAAACTCAGCACATCAGGCACTAAGACTAGGAAGACAGCAGAGATTCAAGTATCTACTGAGAAGAAAGGAGCTGTGAGAACAGTGCGGAAGGAAAGGTCATTCCGATGTCATGTTTTTCAGTATTCAAATCTGTCAGGTCACAGAGGCTTTCAGGCAGCCTGTAATGCTTTAAGTTGGATTGTTCAATTAAGAACTGTTTACAGCTTTGACCCAAGTTCAAATTTTGTCTGGAGGGAGAAGCAACAGTAGTAGTGTTCACAAAAGCCTGCAGTGATAAGAAGATGTGGTGAATGTTGTACTAACGGCGTTTAAACAGTGTGCTCTCTCTGTAAGGTTCTCACATTTATTTTGGAGAGAAAGGGGATATATATGTTGTCATTAGTTCATGCCATATCAACTGCTATTCCTAATGTGTTCATCTGGCATGATTTTCTGTTCCTTTCCTTAAAATCTCCTTTTATGGCTGCCACGCAGTAGATCTGTTATTTTTAAACTACTGCATTTTTTTTCCCTAATACTCATCTGATTGTTCAAAGCCTGACCATGGACTCTCAAAATACACATCTGCATTTTTCCACAGCTTCATGCTGAGTTCAATCTAGATTTTTATCAGCAGAAAGATTTCAGCCTGGGAGGTTTCATGGCTTCAGCCCCAGTGGCTACAGGTGGGAAGCATTGATTCATGAGCAAGCAAGTTCGAAGGCTGCAAAACAACCTTCTGCCATGGCACTGAGGCTGAGCAATGAGCAATCTGATGTACTGGAGTTTCCAGTGAAAGGCATTTTTCAAGATGTATCAGTAGTCTTGAACTGCTGGTATGAGCAAAGGGAAGTTTTTTAAATTGCCCCAAAGTCTCCCTTTGTCCCACTTTTGTGCTGTTGTTCTACTTGGGAAACTTCTTTTTGTTGTCAGTTTCTTAATGCCGATGCTTTCGTTTAAGAGAGCTGCTCTTCAAGGCAGCACCGTGGCTGATGCGGAGTGGTTCAGCTCCACTGACTTTTCACTGGAGTTGTGCCAGCTTGCACCACCTGAGACGAGCCCTCCCTGCATTTTCAGAATCAGATCTGCTGTATTTAGAAGCAAAAATCAATTTCAACAGTTTCTTAATCTCGTTAGCTCTATAAAATCATGCAGCAGGGCAGGGAATGGCAGCTGGCAGGCATCTGTTACAGAACAAATTTTACCAGTGAATGGAACATCTCCTCAACCATCTGTTTGTAATGTGTAGAGAGAGGAATTACCATCATTGGTGACTTCAGCCTCAGAGATATTTGCTGGAGATCTTATGTGGCCATTCAAAAAATACCTTAGACGGTCATGCACCCAGCACACTTGAGATGAGTACTGACCTCATTCAGATAGACAAAAATTAAAAAAGTTTACAGACTGAAGAATTATCAGGTGGCTGTGCATAATGATGACCATATTAGGATCAAGTAGAATAAAACATCAATCATGGAACTGTATTAAATAAATTTAAGTGCATCAGTATCCTCAAACTTGACATATTAGCATAACTGAGGGACAACAAAAATTAACAACAGAAATAATTGGCAAAAAGATGGTTTTATAAAAAGACAGCCACAATTCCACAAGAAAATTCATGACAAAAAAGACTAAAACTACTAGTCTATATAGAAAGACATTTATACTGAAATACATACAGAAGCAGTATAAAACACAGAGGAAAACCAAAAAGACATACTCAGTTAGTAAGAGATTCAGAAATCACCACAGGAGCCTGGTGTGAAAAGACGAATGCCTTTTTCCATGGTCCCAAGCCAGTGAAAGGTGCGTGAAAGGTTTACCCATGGGAAGCACCACACTGGGGAGACATGCATGAGACTGTTGGGGTAACACAGCACAGCACAGTGTTGTGTTTGTCTGTCCTGACCTGCTCTTGCACTTCCAGGCCCATAGGTATCTTGGAACCTGCATATCACAGGAGACAAGCCTCTCACTATGATCCATCGCCTGCACCAATCATCTGGAGTACATTTCTGGGCCCATCTGGGGATGCTTCATTTTCCCCTCCCTTTGTGGCTCCAAACACTGCAATATAAAATCTTTCAGGCTTAGCAAATAAATGTGTAGGTGAAATTTATGCATGACACATAGGCAAGTAGGCCAGGTGAGTTAATAGCCACCATATCCCTAACCTCTGCAGATCTAAGGAGACTCTTACTCTTTCCCACAGATCAGAAACAAGTTTAACTACCCTCTAGCAAGCTCATTTCCCAGCCAGGATGCAGGAGGCAATATAAGACCTGCTCTTCATCTCAAGGCAGAAAGGCATGCAAAGCTGCACTGGGGTTGGTCTGGTGGCTGAAAAACTGTGCCAGCCCTAACAAATGCAAGCTGCAAAGTATTTAGATACAACTGCAGGTATCACATCATAAACAGATAACTTTTACTTGGCTGTTTTGCAAAAACAAAGTCCAGTATTTACAAAGCTCTTTGTGAAGGCACATGAGCACTGCAAGGAACTTTGCTGACTCACTGAGCCTTTGCAGTGAAAGGAGACCACAATTCTTAAGGATCAGCCTATGTGTGGCAGGAGACTCTTTGTTCAGCAGGTGAGGATGTTTATGGCCACCAGAGTGTCTGTCATTAGACCTGAGCCTCTTTCCAAAGGAAAAAAATCAAAGGCAAGAGAGTTCAGCCATAGACTGTCAATAGTGACAGCTCTGCAAGGAGAGGGAGCCTGGTACGTGTTATAGAAGGAAGGGCTGGGCTGCTGTAATCTTAGGGTGGGCAGGTGGAAAGACTCACGTATTTTAGCAGCTGAAGGCTAGAAGGTTTTCCAATGAACTTCAAGGCTCATCAGCTGTAGACAAGGCATGGGTTACACTGGGCCTGCAGGATTTTGCAAAACAAAATCCTCTGTCATGGAGATCCTGAGAAAGATTTCTTTCAGCTAAGGACATATCCAAGCAGAATGTGCCAAATGCACAGGCTTTCTAATCAGCCCCTGGCACTACAGATTGGGCACTACCTTGCCTTGGGAGAATCTTATTCATGACAGCCTCAAGCCTGCAAGGAGCTGGCCTTTGAGTCTGGCCAAACCCATGTGTGGGGCTGGGGTTTCTCTGCTTGGAGCAGAGGGAATTTTAAACATTTAGGGAAAGATTTAGTGGAAATCAGCTGGCTAAGCGATGAGCTAAACCAGAGAAAATGTGGGAGACAAACCATGCCCTCACCCCAAGGCCAAAGTGTGGGGTTAACTCGGGATTGCAGAGCAATGCCTCTGTCCTCAGGGAGTTCAGACACTTACATTTGGAAGCACTTACTTTCCTTCAAAGAAAAAAATATAACCCAGAGGTCTGTGCTTTCCTCTTCCTTCCAAAACTACGTCTCTCTGATCTAATCCAGGGGATCTGGGCTCACCCCACTCTGCAGGGATATGGGAAGACTGGGGATCATTCCTCTCCCAGCCCAAAGGGATTGCAGCCCACTCTTTCACTTCATTTCAAACTCAACACTGTGGGTTTGAATATCCTGAGGAGAAAATGCAGAATGCTCCACCTGCTGTAGTGTTTTCACATCTCACAGCTAATTTACTGAGACATAGGGAGGAACAATCCCTGTGATGGAGCAGCAGATGCCCTCACCCAGGAACCGCTGTGAGATCCAGCATGAATGGCAACAAAGAATGGCTGCCCAAACGTGCATCTGTTCCTCACCATCATCCACTGGGGTAGGAATGCTATAAAGATACCACTGCTGCCTACAAACCCTACCTGACCCACTTTCCATCACTGGGGTAGCAGCAAACTGCAGATCCACACATTCCCTGCGCGGTACCTTAGCCCAGAGAAATGCTGCATAATCACTGGAGCAGTCCCTTTACAGGTGTGCACACTATGCTTTCTTTCCTTTGTTCAAAAACCATACAGAGCATTTAAAGGCAAATAATTTCTTTATCCTTGGTTTCTGCAAGTAGGATTTACCTTGTGTATCTAAAATGTCCTGCAGAACAGCAAGAAGTGAACGTAAAAGAACCTCTTGCAAAAATCATTTATTTTCACGTGTCTTTGAGAAAGATCATTTTATATGTTTGTTACTTTATGTAATCGCAAATATGTTACAAGCCAGTAGATACAAACAACAGAATTTACTTGACTTAGGTTTTTTAAAAAAATTTTCCTACATTTTTCAGATATCTTTATACCTGTTATCACTTCACTTGGCTTAAAATTGGAACTATTGCTCTTTGACCTAGGACTGATTTGTTTTTCTAGACTTTTGGCCTAGATGTTCGTAATACAACAACCCAGGTTATCCAATATCTAATTAAACACAGGTGGAGCTTGAATTTCTTACAGGAAGGCAGCAGAATCCATTTTGAGCAGTCTGAAAGGGAAAGAACTGCACTGGCAGAGGAAGTGAAGATAAGATGGTGAGGAAAAGAGATCACCTTGATTAACTTTGTCTGCTACTAGCAAATGTATTCCTAAATAACCAATCTGTATGTGATATTTTTTTTTTTTGGGGGGGGGGGTTGCTAGTATCTGTTGCATGGATTATTTCATTCTGGATGAACAGGTTTATCTGTAACATTGAAGCATCCCCACAGCACTCATCAGAAGATGTAGCTAGTTCATCCTTACCCACCCCTGCTTTTTCTCTGTGCCTTGAATGTATTTTGTATTAGTTTACTGCTCCCTGTAAAAAGCATTGTGTTTCTCACCTTCTCTTGCCTGCAACTTCACCACTGAAAAAGAAAATTTTTAGGCTTATGGTATAGAAAATAGAAGATAAATGAATTCTTTGAGTTCCACTTATATACGCAGCTACTTCTAAATAAGAAGAGCTCTATTAACAACCCTGTCTCAATATGAACCATACTCAGATTCCAAAATTGGCAGAAACTGCAACCTTGTCTCAGAAAGCTGGACTCCAAAAAAGGTTTCAAACTCTGCACCAGATTACTGCCTTGGGCCTCAATTCCAGCCCCAGCTTATGTATTTGTTGCATCTTTTACATATGCATGGAACCACGGAATCATGGATTGGTTTAAGCTGAAAGAGACCTTAAAGACCACCCAGTTACAAGCCCTTGCCACAAGTAGGAACATCTTCCACTACACCAGATTATTCAAACCTGCATCCAGCCAAGCATTGAACACTTCTGGGGATGGAACCTGTACCAGTGCCTCATCACCCTTCAGGTAAAGAATTTCTTCCTCCTATCTATCCATCTCCCTTTGTCCTAACTCTGCATATGCTTGTAAGATGTCTTCAGTTTTCTTGCAGCTCCCTTTTAGGTAGTGGAAGGCTGCTATAAGGTCTTCCCAGAGCCCTCTCTATTCTAGATGGAACAACCCCAGCTGTCTCAAGCCTGTCTTCATAGAAGAGGAACGTGGATGTAACAGCCTTAAAGACAATTGATTAAAGAGGTGATGCTTTCCCTCACACAAGAGTATGGAGCTGGACACCAAATAGGCAATTCCAGAACCATGTTGTGAGCCATCCTCCCTGCTTCCCCATCCAAACAGTGTTTGGATGTTGGGTGTTAGATTTATACAGAGATTACTATCACAGATAAGCCAGGTAGGTGAACACCCATGTCTGTTGGCTGCCAGTGGGCAGTGGGTACCTGATGCACCTCAAGTCCCTCGACAGTGTTAGATCAATTAAAGGCACACACTTACTGCTGCTACAAAACTGAAACCCCTTTGTGCCATCTCTTCCTGGATTGCCTCCTCACCATTTTCCTTCTGAGTGCAAGGAAACAGCAATGGGAAGAAGGGCTATGGAGCCAGATGGGTGAAGGCATGACTGGTGGTGTGTCTTTAGCCAGCTGATGACTGTGAGGGTGATGAGTGACATGAGCTGGGGATATGGAGCTCACTGCCTCACTGCCACATGTCTTACGCACAGTTGGACCCAGGATACCACCCAGACAATTCCCCCAAGACCAGAGTGATACCAGCCCTCCTATGGTAGCAGAATGCCGGTGTGTGAGCCTCCCTCTGCAGGATCTTTGCAATTTGCTATTGCATTAATAACACAGAAAACACTGGTGATGACAGTCTGTTTCTGTAAGGAGACAGTTGTTCAACACTCATGGGCATGGGTATGAGTATCAAGTATGGACACAAAGTTTGCCCACATTACCCCACCGGTGGCCCCAAGACATGAAGTTCCCATGAAAAAATGTCACCGCAGTTCCAGCCATCAATCCTTTGGGACCTCCCCCGTGCTGGAGGCTGGCCAAAACCCAGGGATGCCTGCCTGGCTGCGAGGGCACTAGCAGCACCACCGCCGCTCAGGGCGCAGAGGCGAGGACGCACCTCTCCTGCAGTCAGGGGCGAGGTCACAGGCACTGCAGAGGTTCTTCCTTCCACGATCTCCCCCGTCTGCAGGAAGCCTCTGTGATGCGACGGGGCGATGCGGCGCAGCAGCAGCCCACGCCTCCCCCACTTCTGAGAACCCCAGCTTTCACCACTACCGGCTTTCCGTGAGGCCGAGTGCCACAGCTGGCACAGCACAGCACGGCACGGCACCCACCTGCTCTTTTCACTGGAATCCCCTGCTTTTGGCTATTTACATCCTTTTCTTAGAGAGAGACAGGAAGCCAAATGAATCAGAGCCATCTATGGTTACCTCCGCCCCAGCCCTTACCAGGCTCTCAGCCGTGCCCGTGCCTTGATGGAGATACCTCTGTTTGGGTTCATGCTCTGCCCACTGCTGAGATGGGGCAGGAGGAGGGGACCAGGAGCACCTGTGTCATCCCTCCTGGGGCAGTGGGTAGGGACCAGGAATCACAGTGGCCCTAGGGAAACGGTGAGGGGGGGCAGGCTGCAATGGCCCTGTCAGCATTTCCCACAGGAGGAAAAAGTGGAGCTCTCCTCACAGAGGCTCCTGCAAAAAGTAGAGACAGGACAGGTCCCAGGGCAAGCCTGCAGCATTCCTGCTGCTGCAGCCAAAGTCCTAATCCTGGGTCTGCAGGGGTGTACCCCAGAGGGAGAGAGGAAGGATGTAGACGAAACACTTCATGGTAAAAGTTGGTTCCACATAAAACTAAAAAGCAAGCTGTTCCTCTGAATGAGCACAAAGTATATGAAAACAGCTCACCAGAGGAACTAAAGTAATATCCTTTACTCTTCTCTCGCAATACCTGACTGACACACAGGGTTAAACACCAGCGAGCTCTGCTGCACATCTTCTGTGGAGAGGCTTTCTTCCCTCTGAAACTTCGAACAGGCAAAGTGCAAAGCAGCAGTTTAACCAGATGCCTCTGATCAAGTAAATAAACCCCATGAGTGAGGATGGGGCCCTTCCCTCCTGTAAGTGAATCGCAGTTACAATCTTTTGCCCATCAGATGTAGGAGGCTGCCTCTGAACTCCAGTGATGCATCCGCACACTCCAATTTGCTCTGTTTTAAATGACACCTCTTGCTTCAGAGAATCATTTTAGCTGCCAGAAAAAAAAAACTGCAAGGAGAAAATGAGCATAATATTTGGGCCACCTTTGTCCAGTCCTCCTTTCTTACGCCTTATTAGCTGAGGGTCAGTGCTGCAAAGGAGCTCAACCCCCACTACCCTAAGCACAGCTGTTCTCAGCTGCTTGGATCCTTCCAGACCTCCTGGGACCTCCCAAAGTTACCAGGATTTCTAGCTGCAAGGCAGGTTTCCCACCAACTCATGGAGGCAGCTCTCTGCTGCACCAAACTTGCTCGTGACATATGCATGGACTGTGGGACATTAAATCAGAGCCAGGCATCTTCCTGACAGCTTTAGAGCCAGACTCGGGAGCACCATGCCTAGTGCTGCAGCACCTGAGGCGAGGCAGGTGGCTTGCTGGGGACTCATAGAGCACAGCAGAGAAACTCAGATGCCTGCAAATGGCACTTGCAGAGCCTTGCAAGTATTTCCTATAGAGGTCTTTCCAGTTGCCTAGTGCACAGCAATGCTCAGGGGAGAGGGAAAGTGATGCTGGGAAGCTCCCCTGCCACCCCAAAAAATTCTCTGTCCTGCAGGCTGCCAGCACATGCTCACTCTGCTGACCACAGCTGCCAGACTTTGCTCTGGCTCACACTGCAGGCCCAGCTCTTGTATGGGAAACCAGAAGTGTTCAGGACTTCTGAGGTTCAGGCCCTTTTTGCCAATATAAAAAATTTACCAGCATGCTGGGAAGGTCAGAACAACGCACCCTTTGTGTCTCAGCTGAATCTGCAAAACAAAGCGTATGTCTTCACTTTTCCTTTCATTAAAGGAAAAAATAATCCCTAAGTTACAGCAACAGGACATCCAAAAAAACCCTCTCAAACCAAACGAAGCTTAAACTTGCAAAGGCAAGTACTCAAAAATTCAGAGATGCCAGAACTGAGACTGCCTGCTCAACACCAGAAGCAGCGAGCGATTGAAATAAAGGACATTCGCCCTGCCTCGCTCACAGGGGGAAGACTGCATTCTCTGGCCACGTCGCACTGCCATAAAGTACCTGGAGAGAACAAATGGAAATATTTTCTTAAGCGGCAGGGGAATGACAGGGAGAGGTGCAGCCAAGCAGCTCAGAGCCAGGGAGCTCCAGCCTGAATGCTGTCCCTCCCGCACCCAAGCACTGTCCCACTGCACGACCCACAGAGGCAAAATCAAGTTCTGAGTCTGATTCAATCCCGCCTTGTTCCAGTTTTCCACCAGTCCAACACCCATTACTTGAAAACAAGCAAGCCCTTAGCTATAAAAGTCAGATTGCTTTTCTTTTTAAGAGGAAAGAAAAGAGAATAAAGGACCCTCTACCAATAATCCATTATATGGAAGCATTTCACGGGAGCTGCATTGCATAAAGCCCAGCAAAAAAGCAGTGGTTTTGGTCTTTCCTGAACAGATAGAGCAGACAATGCTTTTTATCAGCATCATAAATATCAAGTTATACTTTTTGGAACTTGCACTTCAATACATTTCTGCATTGTGGTGTAGTCATAAAAGCTTGGGCTGTCAACTACTCAGGTCCTGTACTAATTCTGAAACTAAATATCTGTGCTTACAAACAAGCACCACAAAATACTCTGGCAGCTCAAAGTCACACAGCTATAGAGAGTGCACCCACCTCCCAATAGCAGATTATGTCACTGAAAAGGCACCTTTTTTTGGAAATTCAGGATCTATGCATGTTCGACAGGAAAGGGTTTGTTTCAAAGTTTCATTTGCTCCATGGTTCCAGTCATTTGGTTTATCAGAGGGTGTGATTTATTAGAAAAATACAAACAGTGAATAGAAAGTAAAAATGCAGTGACCTTTCACTGCAAGGAAAAGCAGTACCACAATGCATTCCTGATTAGAAAAGAACATCAAACTACCCACATGCTGGTAGCTGAGCAACTGCAAAGCAGACTTTTCGCTATCTACAAAATCATAGGATTTTTCAATTTTTTTCTTTAAAAAATATAAACAGTCTGTGTCCATGTTCCCAAGTGGAAAAAGTGTCTGAGGACCTTATTTACAGACTTGGAAGGACAGGCTAATCCCTTGTCCTTGTAGCCAGTTTTAGGAACTTACAGGTTTTTCTTGGCAAATACTCAAATGCAACACTGCTGTCTTGCTCAGACTAGCTTTAGTCAATATGATTTCTGTTAAACTCACCTGCAGCGTGAATCGGGCAATTGTTTGGCCTTATTGCTACCAAACAGCTATTTTAAAGAGTAATCCTTACAGTTTACAAAATGACAGCGGAGGCCTTGGCGTAGATATGCACCAGGAAGAGAGCATTTTCTTAGAAAAGCATAGTTCTCAGTAAATGATAAACCACAGAGCTACTGCTGTGCACATTAAACCACAGAGCTATATTTATATAGAATTAAGGGGCTGAAATCCCACCTCCACCTCCACTCCCCAGCTTCTGCCATCCAAAAGCAAGAATTTTGAGATGCACATCAGGCATTTGGACTCCTAACACAATCTCCTGACCCACCTATAAGGCATACACATTATAGTCATGGGGAACACAAACTCTTTTTCCATATGACTGTTTGATTTAAGGCATCTGAAATGACTCTACTATTTATCATTATTGATCTTCTGGGCTATGGTGATGCCAAGAAGCCTTACTGTGCCAGCTTCTCAGCAAACTAAAAGTCCCTTCCTTACAGAGCTGCAGTTCAAAGAGACCACAGAGGCATCAGGAGTCAGAGGAAACAAGTGCTCTGATCCCAAACACGTACAGGAGGAAATAAATCAGTCTCCAAAACAAGCATGCATTTCGATTCAGAAACACACTTTAAAAATGCCCACACTTAACCCTTGGCAGGGACCTGTGGGAGTAGTGAACTCCATAACTACTGCTTGTCTGGGCTTCATGATTCGTCCCAGGCTCAACCAATGCTACCACCAGCAGTGCCAGGTTGGCAGGGACACTTCAGGCTCACTTCATTTTTCCAGTGGAGAAGCATGAATAGCCCTTACAGAGTGTTGGTATCCAAAGCTGGTATCCATAGCTGTGCAGCTGCAAAAAAGTATTTGGCGAAAAAGCTTCTGTCCTGAGGGAGAGAAAGGCAAGGCTCGTGGAATGGAACCACAGAACAGATCACGGAGATGTTTTCCTATGCCTGATCATAAAGCATATTCTCCTGGAAACTAGACTGAGGCACCTGGCAAATAAAGAGGTTGTTGGTAACAGCCAACGTGGCTTCACAAAGGGAAGTCATGCCTGACAAATTTGGTCACCTTCTGTTATGGGGCTACAGTGTTGGTGGATGAGGCAGAGGAACAGACATTGTCTACCTGGACTTATGGAAAGCGTTTGACATTGTCCTGCAGGTCACCCTTGTCTCCAAATTGGAGGCATGGATTTGACGGATGGACCGTGTGGGGATAAAGAACTGGCTGGATGGCTGCACATGAAGAGTTGTGGTCATTGTCCACAGGGACACCAGTGACCAGTGGTGTCCCTCAGGGGTCGGTCCTGGGGCTGATACTGCTCCACATCCTGCTGGTGACACGGACAGTGGGATTGAGGGGTGGTCAGCGTGCTGCAGGGAAGGGATGGCATCCAGAGGGACTGGACAGGCTGGAGAGCTGGGCCTGTACAAACCTCCTGAGGTTTAACAAAGCCAAGTGCAGGGTCCTGCACATGGGTCAGGGCAACCCCAGGAGCACCCACAGGTTGGGCAGAGAGGTGATTGGGAGCAGCCCTGAAGAGAAGGACCCGGGGGTGATGGCTGATGAAAAACCCAACGTGAGCCAGCAGCGTGTGCTCCCAGCCCAGAGCCAAGGGAACCCTGGGCTGCATCCAAGGGAGCGTGGCCAGCAGTCAGAGGAGGTGATTCTCCCCCTCTGCTCTGC